AGAGTGGAGAAACTATCGTTGGACCAATCGACGCGGGGATTAACATGTCCGCGGTTTGCTATTCGCCAGATGGAAAGATGATTACCACGGGCGGGGTCAACCTGAAAATCTGGGATGCCAACTCGGGCAAATTGCTCAAAACACTCGAGGGATTTTTTACGTGCCTGGCATGGACCTCAAATGGGAAAACACTTATCGCCGGCGGGGGTTTCAAGATCACGAAATTTGACACAGCCACATGGACTGTTCTTCAAGTTGATGTGCGCAACAACGTCGTCGATACCATTTCAATATCTCCCAATGAACGCATCCTCGCATGCACAAAGCACTTGGACAAGACAGTGCAACTGTGGAACCTTGGAACCAATGAGCCCATCACAACGCAACTCCATCATGAAGACCCGGTGAACTGTGCAACCTTTTCTGCAGATGGGAAGCTGCTCGTCACTGGCTGCGACAGCGGCCACATATATACATGGGACGTTTCCAATATCATTGAAGAAGCTGGCCTTCCGTCAGATATTGTAAGCTCAGATGCATTCTTAAAGATACTGACAACGGATCTTCTCTTCCAGGCTGATGCTACACGACTGGCCCCAAAGATCAAAGGTCAAATACCCAAAGGGTTTTTCGATGATGTACGTGATCCACATCTATCATTGAATGTTAGTGTAACCGAATGACGTGGTCACCAGTTCAAGTCTAACTCGCGTACTCATCCATCCCAATCTCATGGGCAACACGACCGCCCCACTCCAGCACCGCGTCAGCGCATCTTCAGCCGTTTTTCCTCTTTATGGCGCAACGACAAGTCCCACATGGAAACCGAACGTGAGACCCAGCCTCGATCTCACCCTCTCAGCTGGGCTCGAAACATGGTCTCTGGCATGCTACGCAGACGAGATGGATCAGATACAGTCGAGGTTCCATACACAGCTGCCCAGCCTGTATGCGTTTTATCTTTATCGTTCGTTTTTATTACCAACTTTTTTCCCGCAGAAAAACTATCATGCGAGAAAGAAGCCACCTCCTGGCCCGTCTCACCCTCCAAATCCTCATACCATGCAACAACAGACTGGCGCAGCAACACAGAACACACCTTCATCGTCTCAGACGCCACCTCCCACTGCCACTTCGACACTTTCCGCTGTCACTGCTGCCCCGAGGATAACAGGAACGATATCGCGTCCTAACGTCACCATCAGACAGGCCGGATGGGGGATTCGTTTTATGCTCTGGGCTACTTGCGCGTCTGTTGAGTATACAATCAATCAACCTTAGGGAAGCACTTTGCTTCGGTGTTTCATTCGCACTTGCAATAATCAGCCAATATTCTCATGTTAGTATTGTATAGTATTTCTTCGTTAGTTCATCAGCATGTCGTATATACGGGACTTATATTCATGCATCAGCATCCAGTTACTGAGTTCATATTGTACATATTTAATGATGATCTTCCTCTTCACATCATATACAAAGTTGGGACAAGACGGTGCTTATAAAATCGAGTATTTCTGTAGCGCTATAACATTGACGAGCTGAGCCATACGGAGATTCTCCTTACCCGGATGGGCTGCAGTATGAGTATCATGACCACGCACCGATGCAAGCATGAGTATTTTCTTAGACTCAAACACACACCAAGGCATTCGAGATGCGACCGAGACACAGGGGGTCCCTAGACTACAACGAAATGTCGAGTGATTCTCTGAAAGGACAGAAATTAGATATATATATAATAGTGAAAAGGTAGACTGACAACAAGGACGGTCTGTGTAAAGATGGAGGAGACCCTACATGAGATCTCGGCCGCCATAACAAAAATCTCGTGCGACCTTGAGCAACGTGCATCGTGAGGGAACAGAGACCAAGGCCTACATTGAACCGGAGAAGGGATGTGGACTCGTACGATAGCAAACCACCAGATGCAACGATTAAGGTCAACAGAAATGAAGAATGTGCAGATATTTTTAGAAAATCGACCTTGAGCGCTTGATCTGCACAGCCCATGTTCAAAGCTGTGAAGCAAACACAAGAATACAGCATGGAAGACGCACCTGTGACTCCGATAACGACCTCCCATCTGACTAGACCGTGCAGTGAAGAAAACGTCCACTCGATCGCAGCTTTCATATACTAGCGCAAGTGAAGCACAGGTAAGTAAGTGACACCATTTGTGTAGCTAGGAACTGACATTATCCCCTGCGCATTATGTGAAGTCTCCAAGCAGAAATCATGTCTTCCCCTGCACCTGAAATGAAAATAACAGAGCCTCACCAAATGATAGAAGGACACACCCATGTTATCCAGGATATCTTACACGTGCCTGGTGGACAGCGGATCATCAGCTGTTCGCTTGATGGCTCAATTCGAATCTGGGACTTGGAAAGTGGAACGCAGGTCGGGGAGGCCTGGAAGGACGAAAATGATGGGGAAGCGCTCTCCATAGCATTGTCGCCAGATTGCAAGATCGTAGCAAGTGGGAGTGAGGATGGTGGAGTGAGATTTTGGGACATCGACACGGGCAAGGTCGTCAAAAGATTCACAGGACATACAAATCGAGTATTCTCTGTGTGCTGGAGTCCAGACGGAGGGCGAGTGGTGAGTGGATCTGAAGATGAAACATTCCGAGTGTGGGACGTCGAGAGCAGCGAGACAATATTGATACTCGCACCAAAAATGAAAAAGAAAGAGAACGACTGGGTATGGACGGTTTGCGATTACTCACCCGATGGCGATATGATTGCAACAGGCGGGGATAACTATGGGCTGAAAATCTGGGATGCCAACACAGGCAAATTGCTCACAACACTCGACGTTTACGGAGGAGTATGGTGCCTGACATGGACCTCGGATGCAATTTTCGCCGGCGGATACGTCTCTATGATCAGGAAATTTGATGTCCCCACCTGGACTGAAATTGCTGTTCTGGAACACAAATCGTTTCAAAATGAATTTGCAAATAGTGTTAATGACATTGCACTATCTCCGAATGGACGGGTCCTCGCAAGTGTATCAAGCAACAAGACAGCGCAACTATGGAACTTCGCAAACAATCAGCCCATCGGACCACCTCTCCACCACGAAGCCCATGTGAGATGCGCGGCCTTTTCTGCAGATGGAAAGTTACTCATGACTGGCTGCCACTGGCTGCCGGACACTGGCCTGCGGAAGTCGCACATATACACATGGGATGTCTCCGCTATCCTCAGAGAAGCTGGCCTCGAAGACCTTCTGTCAGATAACGTGAGCTTGAACAACATTTCTTAACCAATAACACCACATTGACGACGAGTTTTCTCATACTCTTAGGATGTATGTTGCATCATGTCTCACCAAAAGCCTCACACTGATTCTTTCACCACAGAATACCACCAAAAAGCCTTTATTAGATGTATGTTGTACATTTTCTAGAATGTCTTTGCTTTGAACATCTACATCCTAGGCCGATGCTACCCGACAACGACGCCCGCCAATCAAAGGTGCTCGGATACCCAGGGGATTTTTTGATGATTCCCAAGCTGTATGTGATTTTCATCCATAATAATACAGTCCCGCTTGACACAAACGTTAGTTCGAGACATCACGCAGGCTCGCATCGCAAGGTCGACGTGATCGTCAACCCCTATCAACACCCAAATTTCTTCTTGGTCGCCTAACCTCCTTATGGCGCCGCCCTGATTCGCATGGGGCAACTGAGCGCAACACCATCTCTCGACCCCATCCTCTTAATTGGGCTCAACACTTCGTCTCTGGCATGTTGCACAAACGAAGTGAAACGGACATCGAGTTGCGAGAGATACCTGTAGTCGATGTTCCGTACACAAGTGGCCAGCCCGTACATTTTTCCCTTTTCTATTATTCTCTATCCCTGACTCATTTCCACTCAGAGGAACTATCACGCAAGAAAGAAGCCATCTGCTAGCTCATCTCGACCTCTCAATCCTCATACCACACAGCAACCTAGCGCAGCAACCCAGAGCATACCATCCTCATCGCAGGGAACACCTGCCATTGCCACGACATCTGAAGCACTTCCCGTAGTGGCCACTACCACATTGGCGACTGAAACGACGTCGCGACACAATATCACCGTGATTCAAGCTGGACACTGGATTCGTTTCTTGCTTTGGATTGGTTGTGCGTCTATTGAACATACAAACGATCAACATTAGGGTAGAAAGTACGTGGTTCTTGTGTTTTTTAGGCTTATCTAGTTCTCGACGGCCCTCCTGCGCTCTGTCGTTGTACCATCTTTCCTGCTTCTTTCGATACCATTTTTCTTTCGAAAAAGTGCTGTTTATTTTCCTGTACAAGTACTGTAGTATGCTTTATGGGACATGCTTACTTTTCATTGTGTTACAGTATGTGCATGTGTTAGGTATCAGAATCCAAGACTCGGGTGTTGTGTTGATCCTACGAACTCGTGCCGCCTTGGGTTATGCTCTTATCGTGGCCGGGGCTGCGCAGAATGATTATACTTCTCGCCCGACCCTACGACGACCTCAAGGTGATGCTCAAGTCTGTTTACATAGGTGGAATGCGTGCAGATTGATAAATTATATGTACAAGGTGCTGCTTTGGTCTTTGTTGCGCTGTTTCAGCACTTATTCCAGCGCTCCATCTCGGAATATACAAGCAATGACATGCAGATGCGTGTGGGCTTACGCGACGGCAGGGTGTAGTTGCATCTCTTCTCCGATCGTCACGCTCCACGACAACTCACAATGTTTGCACTCAGCTCGACAGAGCGCAGTGTGATGGTGTAAGCCTGCCTCGTTCATACTCATTTATTTTACTCTCCAGTGTTCTGCCTATGTCAGGCAAACTATACTTGAGGTTGACAAATGTAGAGCATGGTCCACTGGACAATTATATACGCAAAAGCTTGCAGTGCATAATCGACTTTGATCAGACATGAAGTTACACAATGGTGTACACACATAAATAGACGTTAAACAGCAAAGTCAGTTCAGACCCTCAGCAGCCGATTGCGTCTCTTAGTTATCAACAAAGGGCCGCCCATTGATACGCTTCACGAGCTTGCTAGGTATATCGTCACTTCTTGTGATCACGCGGCGGGTGATGTACTTGTACCGCATACCACCTTCCCCGTCAGGCACTTGTATGCGTCTGACCCCGTAGCCTGGCTCGGGGAACGGCAGATGCGCCGGATACTGAACAATCATATTGAGGAGAGAGTGCACGAGAGTGATGGACGGCTTACATCAAGAAGGGCTCGTCCGTCGTGAATCACTTCTTTCTTGTAAGCCTCTGATTCTTTGTACAGCTGCCGCTGTGGATGGCATAAATCAGCACGATATCGACAGAGAGAATGGGATCTGTCAACCTTTGCATATTCTGGTTTCTTAGTAAAAACAGGGAGGGGCGCCTGGAGATGAAGGCTTAAGTCAGCATACTATCCACAGAGCGAGAGAGAAACTACTAACATGGAAGAAGCGGTCGCACTTTTCGCAAATGGGCTTGTCGTTGAACATGGGTACTTTTTGACCCTAAACACAAAGAAACATGAATCGAGACAAGTACAGAACAGGAAAAGCATACCTCTTGGATTGTGACGACTTCAGAGCACTTGGACAGTGAGCACACTTGTTCCATGATTCGAGTAGACAGTATATGGTGAGAAGAGGAGGACTTTGATATGAAAACTCCTGGAAATTTTCAGCGGTGAGACGATGAGTGAGTGAGAATACACCATGGTGGCTTTTATATAAGACAAGGACAGTGGTAGGACGTGGAAGGTAGGAGCGTAGAGGTCTGAGCACCAGTGGAAGAATAGTGGTTATAACTTTGTGGACCAAGCGCAAAACAGAACCAAGACAATACGCCATATCACGTGAACAATAGAACAGAGAGGTGTGGCTGCATACAAGAGTGCTCCAATGAAACAGATGTGGAACTCCTTACAGCAAAGTACCTGAAAACGGAAAAATCTAATGCTCACCTATCGAGTGCTTGGTTTATGACACGCGAACGTTTCCACCAGGGACAACCTCATTGTGAGAGGCGACGATCGCTGAAACATCGAGCAGTTGATTCGTCAAGGTTGAAACCGCCGTTCTTGCATAAAATACGGAAGGAGAAGTATTGTGACAAGGGAAGCCACTTATCGCTGCGTTGTTGCGCTGGCATGTTATAAGCATCGGCAAGACCAACAGCGTCAAGTGACACTGTAAAGGAAAGCATTTCAAGAGTGAAGATGCAATTTGTGTTGGACCGGGTGTCTGGACGATGATATGTGGTTTATACACGAAGGACGGCTAGGAGGAGGGGCGGAGTAGAACACGACTCTGTCAAAGGACTCCTGTTGAGATGGAGCTGAATACGCCCCGTACTGGCGTATGCGGCAACTATTGTCATGACGCTACAGCAAAGGCAATGTTCCACTATTATCGCCAATGTCGACCTGTTAAGGGAGCATGCTACCATAGGGTCAAAATTTCTGCGGACGCAGAAACATTAACCAAAATTGCACTGCGTGGTGTCGAGCAGTACTTAGATTCTCAGAACGTCCAGTAATTGGCCAGTGTCGAGTCTGCACAGACCTCACAGAGACTCGGATATCTTCGGAGGTTACGTCGAATGCCAGAGCTAAATGTCTGCCATCAACATCCCCTGCCTTATCCCGACGTCTCACACCGTCTCCCTTGAGGCATCCTTAGCAAAAAGCATGATGACGACGTTCCAGCAGACGAAGCTATAGATGTTTAACTGGTAGACAAGGTCTTCGCGGTGATCGAGGAAGACTATTCATTTTGTTTGTTCAGTACGTAGACATAAATATGGAAAAGAAGGGAAATGACTGACCGGATGAAGACTAGGAAGTTGGTACCAGAATGGCCAAATTGCGAATTAGCTGATAAGACGACAAAGAAAGTGAAAAACTCAGGTTGGACATTTAGAACAGAGGCCGGGGAGAAGAACATCATGATGTATCCAGTTGGACTCTCATGTGGCGCGGGGAGACAGACGCGGAAACTACAGAATCATACACATTAGACAGGTGGAGAAACACAGGGATGCAGGCTGAGGGGATAGTATGGTCGCGATGTCCATGGCAATGCAGATAGAGGAAGCGGGTATTCGATCCGAAATTATAGCGTTGGGCGCCTAATCTGCATAGCCAGTGCTGATGCTGTGGAGCGAACACAAAAATCAAACGAGGAAGACGCGCCAGTAGAAGACTTTGACGACGACCTCCCTTCTGAGTCGCTTGAATCTCCATCAAGCGAAACACCGGATTCATCTTTCTGTACATAAGTCAAGTATATCTAGATTCAGAGTAAGTGATGGATTCATATGGTATTTGATGGTAGTAAGAGCTGAAATCAATTCAGTGAATTCCAGGACTAAAATCATGTCGCATGCAGCTTCTGTGAAGCACGAGAATTTAGCGATAATGCCTTACAGAAAGATCAAAGTAGACTTCATTACCGACATTCTACACCTGCCCGGAGGACAGCGGATCATCGTCCGTTCATCGGGTGGGCCACTTCGAGTCTTGGACTTAGAGATGGGCACACAGGTCGAGGAATGGGAGGCCAAATTTTCTTCCATAGCATTATCGCCGGACGGCAAGACGTTAGCAAGCGGGAGTTGGGATGGCGCAGTGAAGTTGTGGAGTATCGACACGGGCAAGGTTATCAAAACATTGACGGGGCATACAGAGAGAGTTTTTGTGTGTTGGAGTCCAGATGGAGGGCGAGTGCTGGGCAGATCCATGGCAGATGGGAGTCCTGGGACATTCAGAGTGTGGGATGTCAAGAGCGGAGAAACTATCCTTGGACCAATCAGGGCAGGATTAGTGGACGCGGTTCACTACTCGCCCGATGGCAAGATGATTGCCGCAACGGACTTATTCGATGGGCTGAAAATCTGGGATGGCAACACAGGCAAATTGCTCAAAACATTCGAGGGTGATTTTTGGTGCCTGGCATGGACGTCGAATGGAAAAACACTTACGACCTGGGGCGCATTCCAGATTATGAAATTCGACACAGCCACTTGGACTGTTCTTGACGTGCGCGAAAGCTTGGTCGATTCCTTCACCGATCACATTTTACCATCTCCGGATGGGTGCTTCTTTGCAACCGCACCATACTTCAGCGGGACACTGCAACTATGGAATATCGAAACCAATCAACCAATCGGAACACTTCACCATGAAGCAGCCGTGCGCGTGAACACTGCGACCTTTTCTGCAGATGGAAAGTTCCTCTTCACTGGCTGTGACCACCACATTTACATATGGCATGTTTCTGCTATCCTTAAAGAAGCTGGCCTTGTAGTAATCTTACATACATTCCATTCAAAATGACGCTGACAACCGCTTCCTCAGGTCGATGTTACACCGCGACCAGCTCCAGGTGCCCCTCGAATACCTCCAGGGTTCTTTGACAATGCACTGCGAGAGGCTAATGTACGTGATCTCCATCTATTATTCAATGTTTTGACTCGTATATTTTCAGTTGCGCATTCGTCTATCCCAATCCCATGGGCCACATAACCACTCCACTCCAACATCACGTCAACGCACCCTCAATCCATTTCCCTCCTTCTGGCGTCGCTCAAATTCACACGGGGGAACTGAGCACCATACTCGACCTCTATCCCACTCTCTCAACTGGACTCGAAACCTAGTATCTGGTATGCTACGCAGGCGAGATGGGTCGGATATCGAGTTGTGAGAGGTCGATGTTCCTTACACAGCGGGAAAGCCTGTGCGTTTTTTCACGTTTGTCCTTTATTGCTGACTCGTTTTCGCGCAGAGAAATTATCACGCTAGAAAGAAGCCAACTGCTAGCTCGTCTCGACCTCCCAAAATCCATCCCACGCACAAACCTAACGCATCATCATCACAGCTACCTCCAACTACCACCGCCTCGACGCTTTCCGCCGTCACTGGTGCTGCTGGGGCATCAGGAACACCCTCGCGTCCTCATATCACCGTTGCTGGATGGCGTGTTCGTTTCGTGGGGTGGATTTGCTGCATGCCTATTCAGAATGCAGACGGTCACCATTAGCGAAGCGACACTTTGACTTCCATGTTTCATTTGTATTTTGCTCTATTAATTCATCATTGCCACTGACTCTTCTGCTGTCATCGCATAGTACAGGTGGAGGCTAGGAAAGTCTGACCAGGATAGCAGGTAACATTACGATTTGGGTTGAGCACGAATTACGGTCGAAACGTTTCTAAACAGTAACGTTGAAGCCTGGACAAATTGGTCGGTCACATCTGAGAACCAAGGACTTGAAACTTGAATTTGTTGAAGAGCGATCAATCGCTTTCGATGAGTCTCTATCTAGCTTCAAGTTGTAAAGGTTGCTTACTGACTATACTACATGAAATGCTGTGTTGTCGGAACATCGATTGTCCAGCACCGGCCGGCAGGTGCCTATGTTGTATCTATCATAATTCCCCGTGGAACTCGTTGCCAGCCTTATGATAAGATAATTTTCTAACCGTTGATCGTCCTTATTTTAGCCTCTCATGCTTGTGACTGGATCGAAACTGCACATCATTCGATCACAAATGGAAAGGCAGAAACATAACTCACCAGTGTATTACTATGTACAAATTTACCGCCCCCCTCTGAGGGGCTCATCGCCAGGATTATAGCAGATTTGAGCGCCAGTCGGCTGATATTACAAGGCGCAAAGGATGTGCCATCAGGTGAAAATTCGAAAACGCAAACTACTACTACTCACAATGAGAACGCAGACACTCTCTTCATTGCAGCAGCCCATGGTGTTGCTGCAACTCTCGCCATCTTGCTGACACCGTGACGCACCGACAGACATTATAGATGCTGTCAGCGCAGCAATAACGGTGAGGAAAGAGAAGCGCATTGTTTGTGCCAGGTGGTATGAGGTACTCAATTTCTTTGGGGCGAAGATGACTCGCTCTTATACTCGTGAAAGAATAACGTTTAGCGTTTTAGCCAGCATCATGGTTTGGGCGTCCGGTCATTACGTGAGAAGCTGAGCTAGTCTCTTGCAGTCTCTTGCCCACTGCCAGCAGAAATATTACGACGTTCCACATCACAACTTGATTTGAATGTAGGACCCATGGGAACGCACACGGCTACGCTCATGTCGATCAACAAATTTTAAAATTTACCCCACTCATTTACTTGCGGAGCTGAAAAAAGATAAGCACGCTCGCTGTGCAATTGGAAAAACGGAAACGCAGACCTGCTGTCGAGGTAGGTCGCCCTCTGCGCTATTCAGCACTTCGCGCTTACATTTTTATCATCGGGCTATACATCAATTCGTAACGTGCTGTGTAGATCATTGCGCTGATGCGGGCAAGCAGTATTATACCTCAATTCAATTCAATTACTGTATTCACAGGACTATCAAGAACAAAGCCTCGGTTTACATACGATCACAAGGCAGATTGCAAAGCGATCGTCAGTAATTTCTGGCGACAAACTAAAGACAGTTCCGCAACTAGTTTGATTTCCGATGTTTCGGCCTGATGAACTGCTGGCTTTGCGATTGCCATTGGTTACACAGCTGCGGCAATTCTGTCAAATACATAACAATGACGAGTTGTGATCACCTGTCAAATCGCGCATTGTAGTTTCATTAGGGAAGCGAAATCTAGCTTTGACCAGGTGTTGGGACGACGATATGCACGAAGAATGTGTCAGGGGTAGAACATGACTCTGTCAAGACTTTCGCCAATGGGAGCTCTCCATTCTGACGAATGCTCCAGTCATGGTCATAACGCTACATAAAAGGCAAGATTCCGCTTCTATCGCCAATGTCAACCTGCTGGGGGAGCATGCTACCATCCGATGACATGTCCAGGGGCAAAATTCCTGTGGACGTGCCCTATCCCACCGTCTCTTGAGACATACTTTGCAAGATCCTGGCAGCGATGAAAAACTAAAGAAATAGGCATCCTCACTACTATTTGTCATACTAGAGGTTATTCAACGACGTCACCTTGACTGGGGCCTGCATTCCAGCAGCAGCTTAATGGCGTCCATGACGAACCTGCTGTATCCGTACCACCGAACCCCAAAGTTCACCAACTTTGTAATTTCAAGTTTGAACTCAATCTTGAAATTACAAAGTAAGGGTTTAATGGACGTGACAAGCGCCGTAGAAAAGATTCGTCAGCTGCTCAGTCTTCTCAGCGTCCTCGCCTCTGCTTGATATGTTCCTCCGAGTGTGGGCGCGTGAATGTGGAAGAGACATGAAATGAATGATTAGACAAAGATTCTGAAAATGTCATCAGGACAGTGAGATTGCAAGTTGGCAGGGAGACGAAGCAGCAGAAATGCTCATATAGGAGGTTGAGAACCAAGGTCGAAGAAAGGAGCCAGTTGGACTCTCAACGGGAATACAGAGAAAAAATAGATATGACAATCACAGAATCGCACTTGACGGGTGGAGAAACATACTAGGGATGCAGGTTTGCGGGATAGTAGGACTGTGATGTTGTGGGCGCTTAAACTGCACAGCCCGCTGTGAAGCGAACGCCAGGGTTAAGCAAGGAAGACACCTCTAAATAAGACCTCCCTCCTGACTTGAAAATCTCCATCGAACGAAACACCCACTCCGTCGCAGCTTTCGTTTTGTTCAACGGAAATGTGGTGCGAGAGGATGGATGCGGAGACGGTAGAACCATCCGCATTGAACCGGCGGAGAAACACAGTGATGCAGACTAGGGAGATAGTATGGTCGCGATGTCGAGGGCAATGCAGATGAAGGAAGCGGGTATCTGGTCCAAAATCAGCATTGGACGCTTAATCTGCACAGCAGTGCAGATGCTGTAGAGCGGACACGGGGATAAAACGAGGAAGACGCACCAGTAGAAGACTTTAACGACGACCTCCCTTCTGATTTGAATCTCGATTGAACAAAACACCCACTCCGTTGCAGCTTTCGTTCCGGATTCATCTTTCTGTGCACAAGTCAAGTACATCTAAATTCAGAGTAAGTGATGGATTCATATGGCGAGAGCTGGAATTATGACGTACCCATCAAGTGAATCCCGAAAGCAAAATAATGTCGCATCCAGCTCCTGCGAAGCACGAGAATTCAGCGACAATGCCTTACCGAAAGTTCAAAGTAAAGGACCGCATCGGCAAGATCCTGCACCTGCCCGGTGGACAGCGGATCATCACCCATTCATGGGGCAGGCCACTTCAAATTTGGGACCTGGAGACGGGCACACAGGTCGAGGAATGGGCAGACAAATTTTCTAACATAGCCGCATTGTCGCCGGACGGCAAGACATTGTTATGCGAGAGTATGGATGATTTCGCAGTGAAGTTGTGGAGCATCGACACGGGCAAGGTTATCAAAACATTGACGAGGGGCAAATATGATATGTGCTGGAGTTCAGATGGAGGGCGAGTGGTGGGCCTATCCGTAGGTCAAACATTCAAAGTGTGGGATGTCAAGAGATCCTTGGACCAATCAAGATAGCCAATAGCCGGTCGCACATGGTTTACTACTCGCCGGATGGAAAAATGATTGCCACAACGGCCCTGGAAATCTGGAATGGCAACACAGGCAAATTGCTCAAAACATTCGAGGGGTGCCTGGCATGGACCTCGAATGGAAAAACACTTACCACCTGCAGGCGCGGGCGGTCGATTCAGAGTCCGGAATTCCAGATGATGAAATTTGACACAGCCACTTGGGCTGTTCTTGACGTGCGCAAAATCTTCGTCGCTTACCCTGCTACCCGATGGGCGCTTCTTTATTGCAACCACATCACACGTCAACAGGACAATGCAACTATGGAATGTCGAAACCAATCAACCCATCGGAACACCACTTCATGGGTGACCATTGCGACATCTTCTCCAGATGGAAAATTCCTCATCACTAGCTGCCAGGACAGTCACATATATATGTGGGATGTTTCTGCCATCCTTAAAGAAGCTGGCCTTCCCGGCACAGCTCCAAAGTTGAAAGGTGCTCCTCGAATACCTCCAGGGTTTTTTGACGATGCACTGCGAGAGGCTAATGTACGTGATCTCCATCTATTATTCAATGTTTTGACTCGTATGTTCTCAGTTGCGCATTCGTCTATCCCAATCCCATGGGCCACATGGTCACTCCATTCCTGTACCACGCCAACGCACCCTCAGTCGCTTTCCCTCCTTCTGGCGTCGCTCAAAGTCACACGGGGAAACTGGACACCATACTCGACCTCGGTCCCACCCTCTCAGCTGGACTCGGAACTTAGTATCTGGTATACTACGTAGACGAGATGGATCGGACATGGAGCTGCGAGAGGTCGAGGTCCCTTACACAGCGGGAAAGCCTGTGCGTTGTTTTCAGTTTCACGATTCTCCTCTATCGCTGACTCGTTTTCACGCAGAGAAATTATCACGCTAGAAAGAAGCCAACTGCCAGCTCGTCTCGACCTCCCAAAATCCATGCCACGCAATCATCACAGCTACCCACTGCATCGACGCATTCCGCCGTCACTGGTACCGCCGCTGAGGCATCAGGAACACCCTCGCGTCCTCATATCACCTGTACTGGATGGCGCGCTCGTTTCGTGGGCTGGTTTTGCTGTATGCCTATTCAGAACGCAGACGGTCACCATTAGTGAAGCGACACTTTTTTGATTCGTATTTTGCTGTTTCATCTATAAAAAATTCTTCGTGGCCATTGACTCTTCTGGCGTCATCGCATATTACGGGCGGAGGCTAGGAAGATGTGACCAGATAGCAGGTAATTTTACGATTTTGCTCTGGGACGATGAAGAACTTGTGCAGGATGCTGAGCACGCACTTGGGTCGGAGAGAAAATGAAGCATTTCTCAACAATAACATATCTACAGTTCAAGTTGATTGATTAGACGAAGACACGGAAAATGTCGCCAGGATAGTAAGATTGCAAGTTGGCCGGTAGAGAAACGAAGCAAAAGAAAAACTCACGTAGTAACGTTGAGAACCAAGGTCGGAGAGACGACCAGGATTTGACTCAACGAAAATAGCTAGATAGCGCACTTGGCGATTGGAAAAACATAGATAAGCACAGCAGGAGAACCATAGGATTGTCAAAATGATGCACGAAATCCGCCGAATTCTGTCTTCCTTAATGTCACCGGCTCTGGCTACCGCGGCCCCGAATCCATCGAAAGAACCGGCTGATATGAGTCATTTCGGGAGGGTTTGAGGGTATCGGCTTCTGTTTGGGTCTCGCATGATAGTTCCTCTGTAAAAATGAGACGCGGAAGAGAAACTATCAAGGAGAAAAACACACAGGCCGCATGTGACATCTGTGTTCCCTGCGATTGTAGAGGTTGTTCTGGGCGGCCATACTAGACTGGTTTCAACTTTGCACCAACGGGCTTACCTCAGTTCAGTTACCTGTAGAATCTTTTGACTAGGGTTCGGCCAAGGTTCGGCGTTGCCGATTTTCACCCAAGTTGTTTGCTCTCCGGCTGTGTTTGAATTTGGCGTTTCCCGGAGGCGATGTCGACGCCTGTAATACGACAGTCGCGCTACAAATACATGTTGATCACAGGCACATCCTCATTTACTCAACACGACACAAAACACAAGTCTCCGATTATTCAGAATACATGAAGATCCTGTAGGCTTTGTCTGAAACTATTCTTGGACCAATCGACGCAGGGATCGACACCTCCGCAGTTTGCTACTCGCCAGATGGGATGATTACCACGGGCGGGTTATCGAGGCTGAAAATCTGAATGCTAACATAGGCGAATTGCTCGTTTCAAACACTCCAGGGTGTCTGGCTCAGCCATTCTCAGAGCAGTGGGTTTTCACTGGGATGATCGCCGGCGGGGCAAGAAATTCAGCACAGCCATGTTCACGAATACTACTGTCAATGATCCTAGGCCTGGGCCAGTCGATACCATCTCACTCTCTCCCGATGAACGCATCGTCGCAGGTAAATCACTCCTGGGCAAGATATATAGTGCGATTATGGAACCTCGAAATCGATCAACCTATCGAATTAACAACACTACCATGAATATGACGTGACCTCTGCTATTTTTTCAGCAGATGGCAAGTTCCTTGTCACTAACTGGCTCTACGGCCAAATTCACATATGGGATGTTTCTGCCATCCTCAACAAAGCTGGCCTTCTATCAGATATTGTAAGCTTATATACGTTTCAATACAAATGGCGCTGACAACGGCTCCCTCAGGTTGATGGTACACCGCGACCAGCTCCAAAGTTGAAAGGTACTCCTCCAGGGTTCTTTGTTCTTATTTATTACCGACCACTTTTCGTGCAGAGAAACTATCGCGCAAGAAAGAAGAAGCCAACTACCAGTTCATTTCAACGTCCCAAGACTCATGCTACCCAGCAACACAGTGGAGCAACGCGGAACACCCGATCATTGTCACAGCTACCACCTCCCACTGCCACTACCACTGCCAGTCCGCATATCACTATAAGAGTTGCCGGATGGCGTGCTCGTTTCATGGTCTGGGTTTGTTGTATACCCATTCAGAATGCAGACGGTCAACTGACATTTTCGTTCTGTGTTTTATCCGTATCTTCTGTTGTCTCACTCAATTCTTCATAACTCTCCTCTTCCTCTCGAGATCTTGCGATATTTCTTAGTCGGTTTATCATCGTGTAGTATGTTGGGGGCCCAATTGTATCCAATATAGTGCGCGCGCAAATTACTAGAGTTAAATCATACATGTTACACCAATACTTTGTCGGTTTGGCCAACGCATGAAGTCATAAATAGGATGCGCTGCTTATTTACCTTCAAGAGTCGACTCGAGACAACGTAGATGATAAGTCATGCATCATGTGTCACGAATTGCTACAATGCGTATCGCACTGATACTGAAGTAAATTAATGTGTGCATTCTAGCTATGAATCATCGAGCTCGTCTTCTTCCTCGCTGCCCCCCATTAAATCCTCATTTACCATGTCTACGACTGCATTGATGGTCGCCTTAGACATCTTAGGCATAGCGCCCGGTCGCAAGAGAGGATGATGTGCTTCTTGGAGCTCTTCCTCAGATTCCTCACCACTCTCTTCGCCGCCGTTGACATCACTTCCATGGTTGTCTTCCTCTTCCGAACCGTCATCAGGTTGGCTACCACTCCCGACATCGCTCGCTTCTGAATCTGATGAGCTGCTATTATCAATGTCTTCCGATGATGCAATCTCATAGTCGTCATCGTCCGAGTCTGAATCATCCCATGCGGGACCATTGGTAGCAGTGTTGCCGCCAACAGATGGTTCCTCCTCAGTCATTGCCTTCTTACCACTTGTGGCTTTGGAGGGAGGTGGAGCAGAACCTTTACCGAACAGGTGTTTCCGCTGCCTCGCCCACGCATTGATGGGGTCCTGCTCTCTGCCGTCGACCATGGAAAACTCTGTCTCAATAATGTCTCCCTCTGCATCCTCTTTATCTCCTCCGCCGTTGTGATCTTCAGTAGACGACGATGCCTTTCTCCCTAGAATGACTGAACACGTGCGACCCGTGGCACTGATCAAGCGAATACCATCTTTTGGGATGAGATCACCAACGGCCCAGAACTCGCATGGTTTGCTTTCCCCCCAGAGAATTCCTGAATCGAAAAACCATAGAGTTCCAGGTTTGGCGGCAAAATAGGCATCGATACCCGCTGCGCAGTGTCCAGATTTAGGAGTGGCACACGCGCTGCGAAATACAGTTGCTGAGGCCTCGAGAAGAGAAATAGGAAGATGTGTCAGAAACTCGCGCAGGACGAAGAGCGTCTCTTCTCCTTTCGCAACCGTTGATGTGGATGGAGTGGAGGGGTCAGAGTAGGAGGTAACATCGAATTTAGAAGCGCTTATAGCGTCAAGTCCAAATATTATTTGGTGTGGGTTAGAAGTTGTGGCCTTACCCTTTTCAGGTACGTCGCTGGATAGCATGACGACTGTCCAGTGCTGCTTTGCTTTTCCGCGTGTTGGTACCAGGAATGCCCGTGAAATACTATAAAGAGGTATCGAAGCTTCCACCGCACGAGATGAAGGATTTGAAAAGCGTATCGTTTTCTCATGAATCGTGATGTCAACTTTTTTTCGAACAGGCGAGGTCGTAGATATCGAAGGCAGTGTATAAATGGGCCGATCGTCCTCAAGTACATCAGTAGTTTTTTGACGCTTGGAATTTGACACAACGCCTTCTTCATCAGTGCTGGCTGCTCGCCCGCGTTTTGTGCCTTTCTGTGCAGCTAGGTCTTGAATCGCCCTGATGGCGGCAGGTTGATCTCTCGCCCACCCTAGTTGGCCGAGGGCCGACATGTCTGTGGGACAATCACCGCCAGATGCAAATGCAAGTAGCGTGTCCACAGTAGAACGGGCCTGCTCGGAACTCAGGGAGTTTATGATGGACGAACATTCTGCTGGAAAGTGTTGGGACAATGCGTCCAAGTATGGAGTGCTGGAACTCATCACGAGATCCTTATCGAGCTAGATAGATAGTACAGATTAGCGATCATACCAGCTAGATGTTAATTCTTACCTGTGATGCACAAAGTGACGAAGCTGCTATGCAGACTCCAAGTCACAAGTTGTTCGAGCCGACTTTCACTCAGCGGCTCCTCATCGTGGGCTCCTGTCACGTGACTACACGCGTCAACCAGGCCAAAAATAGAATTCACGTTCTCGTTCAACAACACCGAACTGCCTACCCTAAACAAAGACGCGACTCTACCTCTTACTGCCATCATAACACTCTTCGCGTCCTTGTTGACTCCATTTCTCACATTTGCTGATCACTGCTTACTCGTTTTTCACCTCAAATAGTCCAAGTGATCACACCCCTCAAATTCTCCGTGCTACACCAACGTGGTTGTACTTTTCGGTAAGTTGTCAATCTTTCGTTGCAGCCCTGCCGTAATCCTGGTTGACTACCCGTAGTGTATATAAGACCTTTCTTGAGTCAAACATCACACTCTATCACCCATGGCACCCAAATCTACCGGAGGGAAGTCGAAGTCTGGCGTTACTCAAGCAGGAGGAGGAGTTGCAGGATCCGGTGCTACCACAACACCAAGAACGATACAGACTCGCAGTCAGAAAGCTGGCCTCCAGGTCCGTCCTGAGTGTATCTTTCGTTGATCGATTTTCTGATATAGCCCCTTTTTCTCTATCCTCCTTTTAGTTCCCCGTTGGTCGTATCCACCGTTACTTGAAACAGCGCACGCAGCACAATGTGCGTATTGGAGCAAAGGCTGCTGTGTATACCAGCGCAATATTAGAGTATCTCACTGCTGAAGTACTTGAACTTGCTGGTAAGTATCTCAGTCCGGAGTGAAGATGCTTGTTCTTACACCCGTTACCAGGAAATGCATCAAAGGACTTGCGCGTCAAACGTATAACACCCCGGCATTTGCAACTTGCCATTCGAGGGGATGAAGAACTCGATATCCTTGTTCGCGCCACAATCGCCGGAGGAGGCGTATTACCATTCATCCACAAGAGTTTGACAGCTGCTTCAGGCAAGAAGAAGCTTGAGGGACAACAGCAGTAGTGGTTGTTGGGATTTTACAGCAGGTGCTGACATTATCTATTCGCGTGAGCGCAGCGATCAGCTGCACTAACTTTATTTCACTTCTGGCTGTTGTTACTTGCATCTGTAGTTTTGTATCAAATGCATGTATGAGAATTTGGTTGTTCGGCTGTAGACCAACTAGCTAGTGTTGACTTCGGACTCAGTGACTTGATTACGCAAATTGGTGTTGGTTGCGACTCTATTATACTACAATTTGATCGTACATATCCAGGATAGTGTCCAGTTCTACGCGTCATGCAATGGTTACCCTTTCCTTAATCATGAGCTGCTCGCGTGTTCTCCAAGACAGCCGCTTTCCCACCTGTCTCTCTCAGCTCCCCTTTCTCATGCAGTTCCTCATTTTTGGTATACTTGCCGATGACCTATAAAGGAAATCAGCTCATTGTCGACAGCACGTAAAAGGCACAAGACCTGCCTTTTGCGTTTTTCCGATGACCTTGTCACCGAATCCAGCATGGCCCTCGGATAGGTTGGGCTGCCCACCAATTGAGACTCCACCTGCAAGCACATTTCAGGAGCTGGCTATCGCGATGATTAAATGGCTAATACCTTCTGGCGTAGGCTGAGCGCCGAGCGGGCGCTCATTAGTAGAGGCAGTGTTACTACGAGCGCTCTCGCTCTCACTCTCACACGAGTCTGGACCTGTGCGCCCGGCAGACGGTATGCCCATGGTGGCACGAGTGGAGTCGGCATCATCCGACTCCGTAGATGTATTCTTGCCATGAATCACAGAGGAAGACATACGTTCAATATTCGCGGGGGAGTAGTCCTGAGTCTGTACGGCGTCACGCGACCCGGAACCTGGTAGCGGCTGAGAAGAGTCCTGAAGCTGATGCTGCGGGCGAGAAGTGTTCAATGCAGCGTTGTTGGGATTGTTTTGTAAGCCAGACATGTTGACTGTTAACTAGAACTGATGTATAGATTTTGATTGCGTGGTTGGCTATAATTCGGCAGCGATTGTTGACTTTGACAGAGGAGTTCAACTTTGTCTTATATGCCGCATATCCAGACCGCTGGAGAGAATGACGTCATGCGTGTCAGTTCATGGAGTTCGAGTGGAGACAACTCCAGACAACTACGTATGTTAGGGCTATGGATAATAGTGGGTGGGTGAGTCTCTTCTTCTTGTATTCTTTTTCCTTTGGTGGGGTGACGTCTCCGAATGATTGTTCCATTAGTTTCGTAGTACGTGCAATGTACTTCAGGGTGGCTCTCATTCCCTTGCCATCGTTCAACAGGTATCTGAGGTTGCTGTTGCGTGTTCCGACTTCCTGTCTAAGCACGTTGCATTGTCTGACGAAGGCTTGGCAGACCAGTACTAAGTAGGAAGTGGTGGACGGTTTCCTCGCGTGCGTTACACTTCTCGCATTTGGCTGATGGGATGCGCTTCTCAGATAGCAAGGTAAGTGCTTGCCTTGTTTTGGACGTTTTGCTGGAGAAGGGGCAACTTCGGATTCCGCGTCGGTCAGTAGGCTATCGCTATCAACCAGAAGCTCCGCAGATGGGCGCTTTTTAGACATGACGGTATGGGGCACAGTGGCGACTGAGGCAGGCTTCGGCGAATGATTAGTAGGAGCCAATGCTCGTGCAGGGGACGGAGTTCGGAGTCCAATGGAATCGGTTATGAGAAGTAGAAGCGTTGGAAATGAAGCACGGTGTTCTGGCTTTCCGGTACGATATTGAATCTTGATGTATCTATAGTGTTGCAGTGCGATAACAAGATCATGCTTGATTACAATAGCCATGGTTACATTAATATGTACCACAGACTCACTGATTCACTGATAATAGATATATAGGCGTCGACCTGTTCGTTCATGCTCAGCCAACCATCCTTCTATTCAGTCGCCAATGACTTGGTTCGGTATGTGATTGTCACGTCAATTGGTGTTGCATGCCAACAGCTATATCTCCTCCAGGATCATTCTTCACTGGCACATGTTACATGTTGCATGCCATACTGGTCGTGATACATGTGGCCCTTGTTATCTGTTATATCTTTCGTTGGGAACATCGCGTGACCCTCCCATTCACACAAATGAACACCGATTTTTGGCCTGTGGTACTGAGTGCTTCACTGCAAGCATTTTACACGGTACGTGACCTCCTTCACCTGCCAATAGGTATACCAATCAAAGGACTTCATCTAGATATATATGGCTATTCTACTATTCCTCACCCAACGGCTTGCGATGTCAAGAATGCTAGCACGCCGTCAGAAATTGACTGCCATTCACGATATATGTGGTGCATGGGCGGGCCTTGGCTCTGCACTCAGTAGTATTTGGCGACAAATTGAAATCCCTACTTCATGGTGGGCGATTTCTGCCGTGACTGCCTACCTTGCAAGCATTTCCGTGCTGCATATCACCTCTTCCACTCTGCTGCAATTTCAAACATTCAATACTTCCATGGCAACTTCGGTGCCAACAAAACGAGGATGGCCAAATGATTGGATGAATGTTACTAATAATTTGAATTCGGCACCCATCAGCGCATCATTGCTAGTTGTTGGTCAATTGCCCGGGCTGGTCTCTGTAGGGTTATCCAACAATACAATCTACGACATCCCACAAACAAACTCTATGGCAGGAAACGCAACTGTGAGCGCAACGACGATAAGCTCATCTTGCAAATTACTTCCCAATATTACATACTCTGTGGGTGATGGCATGATCAATGCAACTTCCTTAATCGCACAAGAAATTTTGCTTTTCATGGGCGCAAGCTACCCCTGTATGTTATCATAGCTCATTTGGAGGTTTCATCGTTATTTAGGAATGTTTACAGGGTCAGACCAAGTACAAATGCTGCCCGTTAACTATACGATTCTTTCAGGTGCTTATTACAATGTAAACATTCTTCAAGACAATTCGCAGGCGCCGTGGAATCTGACCGACAATTGTTTTACAATAGATCAGCTCTCCTGAGTCTTTTATCCCTGGTGTCATCCTTATGATTTCAACGTTATTGGACATTGAGCCTTCCGTACAACGAGAGGTTGCCGTGCCGGTAACATGGGAACTTCCTACTTCTGGTGAGTCGTGCTTCTTTGTAAATCCGCTGTGTCAACAAAAAATTTGCAGCGAACCTTTCCATTGTTGATCAACATGTTGTTGAAGTCTATTTTGTGCAATGCTTGCTTTCGGCTGTGACTGCAGAAGTTGTGCTTGACATGCAAACCAACAGTCTGTTGACTCCCATCTCCGTGTCGCAACCATCAATGCAGTGGGACATTACGCAGTCGAGCCAGTGGACACATGATGGCGATGACTGGCAAACAATGGTGTGTGTTCATGCTTGTGGTTTACGAAAATCCAATGATCCACTGTTTACACAAGATTTCTTATGCTTTGCGCAGTCCAGTCAGTGGCTTGTATGAATTTTACACTGCAACTGGAATTCTCGTTGGATATCCCCCTAGCGTTCTCTCAACCACGGATGAGTTAAAACCTTTCCTTCATTGCCATGCTACAAACCCTCACCTAAGATTTGATTTCTAGGTATATTATGTCATCGATAGGCTTAAATCTTTCCGCCGAGTACTCCGTATATCGATCCCATGGTTATCCCCTATCCACTTTCACGTTAAGCCCAGATAGGCTAGAGACTGTCATTGCGAATATGACTGCACAATTCATTTGGACAGGTAAGTGGTCGTATAAGGCTGTGATTTTCACAAGCACCCTATTCATCACGTCACATGCTTAGCGAACCAAATTGGCACATCTAATGGAGGACTTCAATTTGGGAGTGGGACAGCCTATGTTAACAAGCAGATTATTTTTCTGCGTCTCAATGTCAGTGTGAACTGCACTGCACTTCTCTTCATCGCTGATCTATGCCATAGATTAACGTTCTTCCTGTGAGTTCGTGACGATATCTACGCTATGGCAGTTTATCGACGAGTCACTAGCTATTGTTTGCGATATCTGCATCGGTGATCATGATAACGTTGGCTCTATGCATGACAAGAGCATTTGATGCATCCAGTGATAATCAAGCTGTCATCCCAAGTACAGGTGCACTGCAACTCTTGTGGCTGGGTTGTCATTCAGCCCCTGTCAATGAATTCCTGAACGACGTGGAACATCCGACAGAGGACAGCCTGCGCCGCGCTGGCATGATAGATGTTTCTTTTGCAAAGACAATATCCGATGAAATGGAAGAGTTGAGGGGTTTGACTGATAGTCTCTCTCGGCAATAGTCGTTACGATACTAGTAGGATATGTGGTTTGGTTTGATAGTAGTGGCATTTTTTTTTGTATTCTTGTTTATTGTCCGGTGGGGCGGAGCCCTATAGTAGACAATACATACACTATTTACTGGTTCGATTTCATATCATTTGGAGTTGCGGTGTCTTTGCTAATGGTCCCGGCATTAGCGAGGACGGGTGTGTCTGTTGAGAGCATCTGGGGGTTGGGGCGGTGGTCTGCGGTGATTGGGCCTGTTCTGCTCATTCATTGTTGCCGCAAACAACTAGCTTCGCATGCGCGTTCTGTGCTAGTGCCTAGTTTCCTGTAGTCAGCCTCAGACCTCGATAGAGCGAAGACAGCCTTTCCTTCCAGTGGCAGGGGCCGGCGCCGTAGTCTTTGGCTGTTTATCAATAGATATCTAATACTACTAATTAACGAGGCATGAAACCAGTGTCTTCTGTTAGATTGACCTCGAGCTTTATAAGATACCGAACTGTTTAATGTTGTATAAAATTCTCGCCAGTCAACTTAAGTATGACTCTTAACTATTGAACTTCTGGTACTTCGAAGTTCGAACCTGATCGAACGGAGACCCTTCAATTGAGACTTTTTCAACTCCGCGGCCGCCGGCAAGGTGCCTGGCTGATGAGAAAATTATCAATAGCCGGGGCAACCTCAATGCTGATGCGTGTTCGCCTAAGACTGTGCCAGTGTCCAGTGGAAACCGAAGTCGAACCGAAGTACAGTGTATACCATTCTTGATCAATCGTAACTGGGTTCCCTCCCTTGGTCCGAACCTTCAATTCCCATAAAATGAACTCTAAGAAGGAGAAGCCCGTCCACTCTCTCATCGCGGGTACGACTGCTGGAGCGATAGAGGCGTAAGTGAAGTGATTCCTATTGCTCATTGCTCATCTTCAGAAGATAGATTCGTGACATACCCCACCGAGTTCGTAAAGACCCGGACACAGTTTGGTGGGCAGGTGGGCGGTTATTTTTTTCCGTTATGAAAACTGACTGGTGTGTTGCTTCTTTTGATCAGCGAGAGTCACCCTTGACTATCATCCGCTCGACTGTACGCGAAAAAGGTGTAGCGGGTCTGTATTCGGGTTGTTCGGCACTCGTGATAGGCAATTCAGTCAAGGCTGGTGTTCGATTCGTGAGCTATGACCACTTCAAGAGTATGCTCGCAGACGCAGAGGTAATCTTTGTCGGACACTAGGAGGAAGGGATTGGCTGAGTATATTTTAAGGGCAATGTCAGTGCACCTAGAAGTTTACTTGGTATGTGGGCTATATGTCTGGACTGCATTTATCTGATGGTGAAAACAGCTGGTCTCGGCGCTGGTATGACAGAGGCCATCATCGCTGTTACCCCTTCAGAGACTATCAAGTATGCCTATGCATATCTTAGCTTTGTTATGCTAATTTTATTTTTGTCCCTTATTTCAGAACTAAAATGATCGATGACGCCAAACGTCCCAACCCGCAATATCGCGGTCTTGTTCATGGAACGATGTCTATAATTCAACAGGAAGGCATACTCGGCATATATCGAGGGCTCTTTCCTGTCGTGAGTGTTTCCGACGCATATACAATATACGGATTTCTCAATAGTGAATCCTAGATGATGCGTCAAGGAGCCAACTCTGCAGTTCGTTTTACGACATACACGACTCTCAAACAGTTCGTTCAGGGAACTACGCGACCAGGCCGGCAGTTACCTCCAGGGATCACGTTTGGCATTGGTGCAGTAGCTGGTCTGGTGACAGTCTATGCGACACAACCGCTAGAGTGAGCACTACCCTTGTGTGCGCTGATAAGAGCTCATCGTTTTCATAATTACAGCGTGATTAAGACGCGGATGCAGTCACTATCAGCGCGCCAGCAGTACCGTAACTCTTTCCACTGTGGATATAGGATCTTGACTGAGGAGGGTATCTTCCGGTTTTGGACTGGTACAACGCCGCGACTGGCCAGATTAGTTGTGCGTTTTGTTTCATTATGCAACGTTGAAGTCATTTAAACTTTATTTCTCCAGGCGAGTGGAGGTATCGTCTTCACAGTCTATGAGAAGATTATTAGCATCATCGGTGGTCGGGAGCAGGACTAGCATACAGGATGTTCCCGAACCAAATATGACATACCCAACGTACTCTTTGAGAACGCGATATAGATAATCCTGAACCTCAGGCTGTGGGTGGCCTTTCACGCAATATCAGCCTCATCTTTCAGAGCCTGGCAATGGTTCATGAATAGATATTACAGGATTACAGTTTCGGCGAGTGCTGGCAAACTATAATCCTCAGTACCAGTGATGCTTCTGCGCACAATCACAAGTCTCGATTTCAAAGCCAAAGTTCTTATTCCAAGTGAATCAGGATTCTCGCGAGCATCGTCATTTCCTCCCACTGCGTCTTCTCATGGTTCAGGACCCCCTTTCCGGAAGTCTCGACAATTTGTACAGCATCTACAAACCTTTCCATTTCCTGCTTGGCCTGAGTAATGGTGCCGCCAGGCGAGTATATCTCCGGCAAGTGCTCATGAGAGAATCTCTCAATCCAATACCTGAGGCAAACCCGGTCAGCCGCGCATAGAATATCTCAGATAAGCTCACCTGGAGTTCCAGTAGTCGGGCTCACGCCTATGGGCGATCGAGTGCAAGTGGTCAGAATAGGGATTACCTTCTTGGGTTTGTACAAGCTCGCGACAACCATTGAAATCGTCATTGAGCAATGAGCAGGTGGAGGACTCGTATCGGCAATAGGCAGAGGCTTCTAAGTACCTTGACGAGTTGAATAGTACTTACCAGCTATGACGTTGAGATTAGCCGATAGCTGGTTGATCCGAGTTGTTAGATCCTATCATCATACGATCTTCGGCGAGAGCGGAGCAGGAGGTGAAGGAATAAAGAGGGCCTGCACCACAGGCGACGACCAGAGTTCTGCATTAGCCATTGTAGTTTACTCACTATATGGTTACGTAAATAACTTGGGGAGGGGCAGCCGAGGAACTTTCTGGCCTGGGAAGACTCCAAGCGGTATAGCTGATCTCGTGGATGTGCTGATTAGGACTTTCCTTCTCATGATGCATTGATTTACCCGTGATCAGCCTAATCTAGATCCCACACATCACAAACACTCTACATCAACATATATGCTGGCACGGTCAATGTCGAATGTCCTGCTTCTGAGAGCTGCCAATCAAGGCAGCCCAGATCGATATGAGGATGCTTTTAGGTCTCGGGGATACCATCCAATATCAGTTCCGGTACTAGAAACCGTCATAGTTGGCTGCGAGGAGCTAGCACGCAGATTGAGCATCGGTCCAGAGAAACAGAGCCTGTCTGGAGTTATAATCACGAGCCAGCGAGCTGTCGAAGCATGGTCCGAGGCGGCTCAAGCATTGATCATTGCTGATAACAACACGCCTCTCAAGCCCGAATCTGGTATGGTTTATTGGCTGAATGCATCGTATCGGATCTCACAACCAAACAGACTGGTGGTCTGTGCCGTTCTATGCAGTTGGAGAAGCTACATCGGTTGCGCTTCGTGATCTTTCCGAGAAGATACCTCTGTATACACCTAGAGATATTCGAGGTGGCTCAGAGACGGGGACTGCAGAACGTCTTGCAGGATTCATACTCAAGGATCTTCCCTCGGATGGAACAAGCAAACAACTTCTCTACCTCACTGGAGATAAAAATCGTGACACATTACCGATGATTCTGGAGTCGGCTGGTGTTACTTTAGACTCACTCCAGGTCTATGCCACACAAGGCTCATCCATGTTCCCTCACGCTTTATCGCTTGCCTTGGAACATGTCAGAGGAAAGTATTTTACAGCATTATATTTGCAGCACTTTTGAAATCTATAACAGAGGAGGGATCATCCTGGGGATGGATCGTCTACTTCGCCCCTTCAGTAGCTGAATTTGTGACGCCAATCCTACGGAATCACTTCGCCCTACCTGCGGCCAATTCGAGCATAGATGATTGTGCCCAACTTTCAGAACATCATCACGTCAAAGTTGCTGCGATAGGACCTACTACGGAGTCCTTTCTCCAACAAACTTTGAAGTTGTCGGTGGCAGTGACCGCGAAAAATCCCAAGCCAGATGATCTTGCTGATGGAGTCCTTCAATACGATGAAGCACAATAAAATGCAGTCACTCCATGTATACCTTTCATCACTTGTTATTACTGCAGAACAACTGCAGAACGTGCTAAGTACATATGCCACTACCAGAGCCTCGTTCAATTTTCACACAATCACACGGAACTGACAGGCATTACGGAATGGAAAACTTCACGGAAACCTTACGATTCCCAAGTGTCGGGCACAATTTCAATGCAATTTGCCCAGTTTCACGCTGACAATCTTCTAACTACACGTTCTTTTGCATCACGTTCTTTACTCTACATACTCCTGAGGCAACCTGAACGACAGCGTAAAGCTGGTTCTTTCACTGTTACGACATGAACTCTCCGCTGTTGCGACAGGAATATGGCGACTCGTCGACTAGCTTACTACCTCCAAGGGCAGAAGGTCGCTCCAGGTCGCCAACAGTGAGCGAGTATGACACGGGATTCGCAGGACCAAGCAGATCTCACAGTCCTTCAACGTATGAAGTAAGTTTCAGAAGTAATACTCAATGTCCTCGGTTGATTAAAACGGGAGGATAGAATTCGCTCGCCGACAAAGTATGCCAACACTCGTCTCTATAATCTGTGCTATTTGTGACATTTGTCTTCAGTATGCCCTGCAACTCAATCCCGAAGACTGGGGCACGAGCGCTCTGCATGTCGACACACCTGAACCAGATGACTACCTTCACACTCCAGACCCAAAGCGTGATCTTAAGAGTGACAAGGGAGGTCACATTTTCACTGCGCGAGGGATTGCCAACCTGGGATGCCTATTTCTCTTAGTCGCATTGATGCTTATGTTATTGTAAGTTTGCGCAACTGCACAAACATGCTTGTACTAACGCTCCTCCAATAGCCTCGGTAAGTTAGTGCATCTCACTATTAGACGCATGCAGGATTCAGCAGCTGATCTTATCGGGTAAAGTATTTCCAATCGTTAGTCACCTGTCCAGGAAGAAGCCAACTCCTCAGAATGGATTTAATCTCGGTGGTACCAATGCAACAGGACAGATTCCATCGATGCCTGGCGACCGCGGCGTCATAGATGTCGATACTCCGAAGGAAGCCTACACGAAGGCATCGTACATGAACCAAAACGACATGTGGGACCTTGTTTTCTCTGACGAGTTTCAAGTCGAGGGACGGTCATTTTATCCCGGAGACGATCCGTACTGGGAGGCTCCAAACTTACACTACTGGGGCACGGTCAGTGGAGGTCGTGGGTATAGATTGTATGAGACTAAAAATATGGACAGAATGATTTGGAATGGTACGATCCAAGCCAAGTAACAACGAAAGGAGGCGCATTGCAAATCACACTGGAAAAGGCTGATCCTGCTTCAAACCACAATCTTACATATAGGTCGGGCATGGTAAGCCAAGATCATCTCGTTGTGGCATACTGAGGCATGTAGTATCTTGTAGATCCAAACATGGTAATGAGTTCGGCTCTATGTTACCTTCGACACTAATAATATCTAAAGGAATAAATTCTGTTTTACAGGTGGCCTCATTGAAAGTGAGCTACATATGTGTTGTTTACTGCCGATATCTACTGATTACCGAGTTGTAGCTTCCGTTATCCTGCCGGGATCTAACAATGTCCAGTAAGTAGGCTGCTGTAAGATCATTGCGTTCTGCTGAACACCTGCTATCAAAGTGGTCTTTGGCCCGCTGTGTGAGTCTGGTCTTTTTTATAAGAACGTGATTAATATTTTGTATCAAGCTGGACAATGGGAAATCTAGGTTAGTGCATTGTTCTCTCATACCTTCGAGGATTTAAACCAACCATCGCCACAGGTCGTGCAGGCTTTGGTGCTAGTTTAGAAGGATTGGTATGTGAACCTCTATCGAAGAGGTCGTATTAATCAGACTATTTCAGTGGCCATACTCATACGACAGTTGTGATGTCGGCACGTTGCCAAATCAAACTTTTCCTGGGACATCCAAGCCGCTCGCTGCTGTACAGAACGGCGATCCTGAGAATGGTGGCGTCTTGGTCAGGTCTCTGCACCATTTGTCTTTCTGGATCTCCATTCATCTTTTGCAGTCATATTTGCCTGGTCAACGACTGTCTGCTTGTACCTGCCCTGGTGAATCACATCCTGGTCCAGTCCGTACAAATGGCAATTACGTTGGCCGTTCTGCGCCGGAGATCGATATCTTCGAGGCGACAGTTGATGGTGGGATTGGCAAGGTTCGCCTACTCCAAGTTTCACTCAGCGTTGACTCATGAATTCATGAAGGTTTCACAATCAGCACAATGGGCTCCTTTCAATGTAGGTCTGGATTATGACCAATTGGGCTGTTCTTGACACTCTCAGGCGGGATACCAATGGTTGAACACTTCCGACAATCTGCAGATTTATCATCCAAACCTAACTATCCTGAATCCTTACCATGGAGGTACGTGCTCATTTTTCATGCCAAATTCGTACCCAACAGTTGCGCTGCAGGGGCGTATCAACAAACTACTAGTGGTCTCTCACTCACGGACCAAGATTGCTATGAGCTTGATATGGGTTGCTATAGCGTCTACGGGTTTGAATACCAACCGGGGTTTGCAGAAGTCAGATCACAATCTATGCTCTGTGCTCACATATCTCCAGGTTTGATGCTGGATATATCACTTGGATTAGTGGCGGCGAGGCCGTCTGGACAGTCTATTCCAGTGGACTAGGGCCTGATACTGAGACCGAGATTGGTGCCCGTATTGTCTCTCAGGAGCCCATGGTATATCATAACAACTTTTTTCGCAAGCGAGCATGAAAATATTGACCACGCTATGTAGTATATCATTGCCAACCTTGGATTCTCACTCAATTTCGGAGGAATTGATTTCGGGGACCTCCAGTTACCTGCGACCATGTCGATTGATTATATTCGCATCTATCAGCCTTCAAATGCGCACAATATTGGGTGCGATCCCCCCGACTTCCCGACTGCCACTTACATCGAAACGTAAGCCCTGGTCCCAACCAAGACGTTCGAAGTTTGCTAAATATTCTCAGGTACAAGGAAGCTTATACTAACTTTAATCTCACTGGGTGGAGCTCCCCAAGTTATAATCAGACAGTACCTAAGAACAGATTGAACGGAGGGTGTTGAGCACTTATGACTTATCCACGTCATCCGTACATTCACGACTTGCAGGATCATTGCTTATTGGGATTTGGGTTGTTTCATTGCATATCATTCTTGCATCACACGCATTTTACTGATGGTTCTTGCACATATCCGCACCACATTCACAACTGTTACTTAATACTTACCTTAATTAGGTATATACTACAGTCTACAGATGCCTATTCAATAAATTGTTGATTTCTGATCACGTGAGTAGTCGCGTCATGGTCAGCCGCTAGCTTATTTATCACCACCTGTGTCATATTTACCACCATCCCCTCACAGCTACTTCACGTTCTTTGAACCTACAACACCAATCATTTTTGTAATGCCTGCTGTCTCACGGAAGCGAAAATCTCGTGCTCGTTCCGGATCAAAGCCATACGAGCGGCGAGCTACCGTCACTGTGCATTCTTCCAGTCCTGCACTGTCCGATGACGGTAATGAATGCCCTCCCTCACCAATCTTAGATATGGCGGACAAACCTGGATTTCCTACATACACTCAATACAAACGCATAGAGATGGCATACCTGCAGTCGCTGTCCCCGCGGAAGCGTGACAAGGCCCTCATATCTCAGTGCATGTTCGACAAGATCTGGGATGTACTACACCAACCGGACGCATGCTCTATCGGGACACCACAGTTTCGCTTCTGGGTTCGCAAGATGTTCACGCTCAGTACGCCCGACACAGACGACGATGACAGCGAGGCACCAGTTGTCATCCTCCATGAGAACAGACCGGTCGCTGTTCAGGAGCAGCTATATGAACTCTTTTGTTACTGCCATGAAGAGTCCCACCACGGCGGTCGGGACAAAACCTGCGCTGTTATCCGCCAGCACTACTCATGGGTCCCAAAAGAGCTTACTGCGCAGTTCGTCAAAGCTTGTCCAACATGTACTTTCAAACGAAGCGGGAACCCAGAGCTTATTGCACTAGTCCAGGGGAAGATATCCTCGCACGAGCTAAAGGAGGAGGAAGTTGAGGAATCCCAAGGTTCGCTGTGTCGGTCGGGTTCCGCTGAAACAGGCTGGCAGTTTTCCGGAGGTCCGCTCGATCAAACTGGGGATATTGCCCGTTCCATTGACTCCCCGTCCACTCCTTCACCATCCTTGTGCTTGCGAAGCTCTAAGCTACTCTTGCGTCCCCGACCACCCTTGCTTGATTCAGCGCTACAAGACCTCAGCGACGTACATTTGAGACAAATTCGCGTCGGCTTGGACCCATTGAGTTTGGACCTCGCGGGTCTGTGCAGTCATCCTAATGCAAAACCAGGTGACTTGCCATCTCTAGCAGAAGCCTACCAAGACAACACGAAGGATGACCAGTACAGGTTGACCGCTCTGTGGCCCGAAAACATTTCAGGCTCGCTCCCCCCTGAACTACAGCGTCTTCAACTTTCGAGCCCAGTTTGTACTCAGAACGTACGAATTAACCAGATCGACCCTGCTCTGCTCACCAGGGAGGAGCAAAACGATAGAGAAAGAGAAGGCTGCATGGAGGAAGTATCTCCCCTGCTATCTTATCCACCATCGGACTTCAGCGTGTCGCCTAACTTCAGATTCCCGTCGTCTCCCGTGACTCCCGAGGAGCAACAACGTCACAGCCTGTATGAAGATTGGACGCCTTCAAATCTGGGGATCAATCCAGTGTCTTCTCGATTGCTGTTTGGCAGCATGTCAACATACCTGACCCCAGCGTTCGACTCTACGATGGGCAGCAGGTCAATGACAGACTCCGAATACCATATATTGCCCGTTGCTCTTTCGCCACCATTGTCACCCCTGACGCCATTCATTGGTGATTCACCTACGCCTACTGAGGAAGGAGTATTCGGAGACGAACCGCTGAGAAGAATTTGATGATGATGTAGATGAGATCTCAATGATTATGCTGCCAGAATTATGTACATTGTTCATTCCTTCAAGGAGACTGGTCCGGATCAATGCTGCATGCGCGTAAGTATGTTGGCCCACTTTATCGACGAGTTGGACCCAGCAGAGTGCATCAACTCGCAGTGGAGACGAAGGACTGCCCTATGTTGTGAATGAATATATCCTTTGCGTTATCATACTTGCAGAAACGCAACAGTTGAGGTGTACGCTACTAACCCTTCGGTTCGTGCGACGTGAACGGCTTGCAGGAAAGAAGTCCATTGATTGAAAGCGCCTATACAGGGCGATGCACCTTCGGGTACCAAAAAAAAATGAATACAGAAGCCGTATTTAGATACATTGTCGCTTCCATAAAGACCATCTGAAACGAGGGTGTTCTCAAGTACCACCTACCGAGGATGGTATAAAAAAGTTTCGGTGGTGGTAGCATAGAGTGCCTTCCAAAGAGTCCAACGTGCCCAAAGACTGAATGCATCTAGGAATAGGTGACCTGGTGATCTGTGGTGCAGACTCTGACAGGAAGGTGTGCATGAAGAAGGAACCACGGCTTCGTGCGGAGAAGCCAGGCAGTAAGAAGGGGGATTCTCTTCATTGCCATGTCGGCACTTCGAATATGGATGTTTGACGAGCTGCACTGCTGAAGTCGGGTGGTTGAAGCTGAGACGTCGATTTCAACCACAAAACATCCTTTGCAAACGCACAGTGATGACGTCCCAACAGATCAACTGATGGGCGTTTGACTAGTAGATAAGGCATTAGTGGTGATAAAGGAAAAATACTACTCAATTTATTCGTTCGACGCTGCACAGACACATTCCTCAAAACTATGGGTACGTGGATGTGGAAGAAACGGGAATGAATAATTGGACGACGACGGAAAATGTGACCAGGATAGCCATATTGCAATTTGGCTAGTGGGGTGACGAAGAAGAAAAAGACCAGCAACTCATCGAGGACGATGAGAAATGTTAGGGGAGAAAGGAGGATATGTTAACCTGTCGAATTGTCAACGTAAATGCAGCGCGAGGGGCATATAAATGTCAAGACCGCACAATCGTATGGGGCCAGTGAAGATAAACATACATAAGGATATTGTCAGAAAAGCATGGGCGCTTGATGATCTGGATTCTGCACAGCAAGTGCTCAAGCTGTGCAGTGAACGAACAAAGGAAGACACACCTATAATTACTAGGACATGCATATCACAGATCTATTGACTTTTCCGTCTGTGTACCAAGCATGGAGCCATGGCTGCAGGCCACTGCCTGCCAGTGGTTGTAATTAATATGCCGCGTGTATTTCAGGCGGAGTTCCTTCCGAGTCCTTTCATCCCAACTTCAGTGACTGAGTGCTTCTCGAAAGTCGAAACTCGTCGAAACTCAGAGTCTCTGTCCAAAATCTCATTTGGTCCTGTGTGTTAGGCTCGTGAAGTAAAGACTGGTTTACGAGTCTACTTGTGTGTCGCAAGCACGTGTTCTTAGATTGACATTGACCCACCATAACTTTTAATTTATAGGTAACGGTTGGACAAGGTCTGGGTCTCCTTATTATCGATCTCTTGGATGAGGCTGAAAGTAAGAATTCTCATTGATATCAGAGACATGTACTCACACAAGTTGTCACTTAGCGGCAGTACTATGTGGCAGTGGCACCCATAAAACCCACTACAGCGTGCACGGCTTCGAAGTGCGCAAAATGCATGCAAGGCGGCCAACTTCGTCAACGTAAGCGTTGCACTACAGTAAGTAAACATTTAAACAGTTGATGATCAGTCCTGATGCGACTCTGTGAAGGAGGGTTGCAAATGTCCATGCCCACGATATATTGATATGGCTCGAGCTACTAGTCGTAAACCTCCCACGATTCCTGCGACTACTCAAGCCCCACTCTCTGCCGCGATTCCTGTATCTGCTCGAGCTGAACCCTCTTCCACTGTAGCTGCGCCCAGTGCCCCACTCCGGGTGACTCGGAGAACACGCCTTAAGGCTTCACCACCGGACGCCACGTGATTCAGAGCACATGTAACCGCATGGGTCATGTCACTAATTCACCTTGCCAAGCAAGGTCGATGACAGGTATATTTCTTCGTCCCAGGAATAGATACCCACAAATTTTCCCTTCATAGTTTTTTCACGCCCTCTGTATACCACGACAATCTTCAACTTTCGGCTGATGGACTGCCCAAGTACTTACAAAGTTACAGAGACCTTGGATATTGTCGATCAGATGCTCTGAGTCTGGTCTTTGGAGACTGCTTCAGAACTGTCTATTTATACAAGTTGATGTACACGATTTATTGACATCGCACTTCGTCAGGGTTCTAGTATACATAGCATGTGTGTTGTATTGCGGACCAAGCTCGGTTCAGGTGTCGGATTATATTATGGAGATCTCGGTCATGATATATAGAAGCGGAGCAGTAAGAGTATCACCGATACAATGTTAATATTTGCTCGCCGTGCAATCCAAGTGCGATGTTGACACAATGATGGCAGCCACTGTCAGCATTATACGTTCAATGCGAATTGTCGACTTGCCAACCCGGGTAGGTGCCCAGGAATGAAATAAAAATTACTGACTTTCCGGGTTTGCAAGGACATAGATTTCAATGGACTCGATGAAAAGCAGCTGGTAAAGCTTGAAATGTAGATTTGAAATGCTAGTATCGATTTCAGACTGCAAGAACACACTGCAGCTAGTGGCAAGCTATAATCAAATCGATTTGGAACCCGCAGACAAGCTAGTAGCAATGCTATTGACACTTTCTCTCACTAGGCTTCATTTGTAGTCTCTACTGCTTTCATGTTTTCACTTCCCATCCACAAAGAGGACATCCACTGTCCAATCGGTGGTGTTTTAGCTGCCCACACTGGCCAGCCGATAAACCCGACCACGAGTAACCAAGCTGGCCCCACAGTGCACCAAGTTGTGACATCAGCAGATAGGAAAATCACCAGCGACAGCGCTAGGAAAAAGAAAACCATACTGTATAATTTTAATTTGTCAATGAGAAACATTCACGCAGCGCTGCGTAAATGGTGAAAGTACTCACCCCCAAATAACAAGGGCATATGGTAAGCTGAAGATGATGGCAAGGTTCTCTTTGCCATGAAGTGACTGAGTCATGCGCGTCATGAATGCCGTCTTGAACAGCTAAGTCAGTCGTGCGATAAGGGGGTAGAACGTTAGGTGTACCGCTCTGTTTATGCTGTCTTTGTTCCCACCGCTTTGTGCAAGAAGAGCAGAGACGACCAGCGAAGCTACCGAGCAGAGCGACGAGATGTATAATGCGATTTGTGCCGAAGTTTGTTGACCGATCACTGGCACTGCGAGGAAGCTGATGTCCACAGCTAACATGACGGTTGACTGTCCATTTTCAATGCTTACAATGGAGATACTATTTAGCTTCGGCAACTTACATAGATTGCTAGTCCACTCCACTCGCCCGTCAACCTATTCATGAACATTTTCCACCGCGGACGGTTAACAGATTGGTCAACCCAGACGCTGTCAATTTGTTTGACATGCGTGGACGGAGAGCCAAAAAGGACGACGAAGTTGAAAAGCTTGACTATCGGTCTTCTTTCCATCGAGTTGTCATTGTCACAAATGTGATCTGTACCTAGCCTCGTGCCTATTTCACCGTAAAAATTAGAAAGCCTAGCTCGAGCTGGTAAGAAAAGTCAGCTGCATCTGGATGAGAGCGTGCATGAGACCACCATACTGAACATTCGCATTAAGCGAGCTATGGAGGCTTATTGTAAGAAGAAAAGGCATTAAGAAAGCAATATCCGCACCGTACGCCCATATGTATTGGTCATTTGTAGTTGAATCAGATTCATCGTTTGTTGTCGAATCAGATTTGTTAACGATACCTCAACTTGGAATCAAAAAACATGCCCAGTACAATGTATGAACAGACATCACCGTTTAAATAATCGACAATATTCAGAGCTCGCTGAAGCTCATCTGTGTCAAAAGGAGCTAATGATATTTCTGAAAAGATAGTATCTACTCGACAAATTTGTGAGCAAATATGGTTAAAACGTCGCGAGAGACACACCGGTATAGGCATGGAGGATCATTGCCTGCAGTTCGCGGTGAAGTTCAGTAGTTATCTTGCAGTCGCTTGGATACAGCTCCCGGTGCATCCTGAACCTCATAAGTGGGAGGAATGCGTATGATCTGAGGACAAATAATTTAGGGCTGTTATTTGCGGCTGGTGAAAATATTACCTCAATCGCATAGCTCACCAATACTCAGCTTCCATGGCATATTCTATACAACGGTTGTGTAGTGCCACTAGAACAAAAGAAGAAGAAAACGCACTGATATGACCGCTCGTAATGCCTTTGACCCCGCCACACCTGTTCATGGCAGGGTGATACTTAACCATGTCTAACTATACACAGTACATTTTGTAAGTTTGTCTCGGAGTCACCAACATGAAGCTTCATGAAGCTTAACAGGCACGATGCCTCACTGGTTCTAAAGATCGGGATCTCTCTTGTGATCTCGATGCTACTGGAAATGTTTTTCTCAGGCTTCCAAGAATAGCGCTACCACCGGAAAAATTACCAAATTGGGATATTCCAATAATCTCACTATTCCCACATACCTCCCTGGCTCTACTGCTGCACCAGAGCTTTCCCCTTGCTCACTCATGTATATAAGTAGTAGAATGGCATGTACATACATAAAATGATACAATAGACCGCTTTTTTCATTGTCTGAGAGCTTGTACAGCAGTCTACAGTACTGACTACAATATGTGCATCCCAGGACTAAAACATATTCGCTTTTTTGCCCCTTTAGCAGGGAAGCAATTCTGACTGTATATATCATATATTAGAGTGTTAATGAATATATTACACCGCTTGTTTGAGCCTCTGTAGTGTCCTACATCAGTAGATATGTTAAATTCATGAATACCTCTCAAAAAACATAAACCAGTTCGCATTTTTTAGTGTTTAGGTATATAGACTGGTGAATATTATTTCTAACATCTCTTTACTAGTATATACATCATATCAAGAGTATATGTCAGCAGGATCAGTCCCTAGGGTCATATGTATTGTCATCTTCCTGGTGGTTCACTCCCTGAGAAAATTTTTCCTGCAGCTCCGGCCCTCTAGGATGGTAGGTAGTCTTTTACTATGAACATATGGAATATATTTATCACATAGGTATACCAGAACAATACCAGGATCCTTGTCTACAATCCAAAGTCACTTTTTGCCTACAATGTACCATATTTTCGCATTTTTGAGGTTTTTCACTACATTCTCACTACATAGACTATACCAGCTGTTCATATATCACTTATAGTACATATATGAAGCCTTCCCAAGGCCATGATCAGGCAGAAATATGTCAGAGTAATGATATCAAGCACATATCTCCTATTCTCACTGATAAGAATTCCCAGACATGAATATAGTAAAATATTATGATCAGACTATCTTGGAGTACACTATATATACCAAGTAATACAGTCCTCGACTACCAGAAGGATCCATGAATAATTGACAGCAGGGGAATCCAATAGATAAGAAATAGGTCGTGGGAAAGTCAAAAAGTCCAAACATCGAAAAAGTACTATGCACCAACAGTCTATGCAAGGGTGGTCTGACCATAATAATGCAACAAATTGAGACCACAACACTTCCACATCACCTTTACCTTCACAACATATATTAGTATAGTATATTTAAGTAGTTTACAATGTATTCTATACATTTTTAATGAAATCTTCGCCCTAGACAGGGTTGAAATATAACATTTGCATGATTGTGGGATTTGCCCCTATATCATTGATATCATTACTATGTCATATTTCTGCCTGATCATGGCCTTGGGAAGGCTTCATATATGTACTATAAGTGATATATGAACAGCTGGTATAGTCTATGTAGTGAGAATGTAGTGAAAAACCTCAAAAATGCGAAAATATGGTACATTGTAGGCAAAAAGTGACTTTGGATTGTAGACAAGGATCCTGGTATTGTTCTGGTATACCTATGTGATAAATATATTCCATATGTTCATAGTAAAAGACTACCTACCATCCTAGAGGGCCGGAGCTGCAGGAAAAATTTTCTCAGGGAGTGAACCACCAGGAAGATGACAATACATATGACCCTAGGGACTGATCCTGCTGACATATACTCTTGATATGATGTATATACTAGTAAAGAGATGTTAGAAATAATATTCACCAGTCTATATACCTAAACACTAAAAAATGCGAACTGGTTTATGTTTTTTGAGAGGTATTCATGAATTTAACATATCTACTGATGTAGGACACTACAGAGGCTCAAACAAGCGGTGTAATATATTCATTAACACTCTAATATATGATATATACAGTCAGAATTGCTTCCCTGCTAAAGGGGCAAAAAAGCGAATATGTTTTAGTCCTGGGATGCACATATTGTAGTCAGTACTGTAGACTGCTGTACAAGCTCTCAGACAATGAAAAAAGCGGTCTATTGTATCATTTTATGTATGTACATGCCATTCTACTACTTATATACATGAGTGAGCAAGGGGAAAGCTCTGGTGCAGCAGTAGAGCCAGGGAGGTATGTGGGAATAGTGAGATTATTGGAATATCCCAATTTGGTAATTTTTCCGGTGGTAGCGCTATTCTTGGAAGCCTGAGAATCACCAAAGGAATCAGAAGCCGTTAAGCTTAATTGTAGGGGATTGATAGTTTACAAACAAACTTACAAAACCATACCGTTTCTAGTCAGTGAGTATTATGCTTAATTTTAACAGTATAGCCTGCCCGCCAAACAAATGCTTCGCCTCAAAATGGTCTTCCCAAAACAGAATCCGCCGATCAGGTGCGACAAAATAGTACCTGCATTCTAGTTCCCCGCTATCGTTTGTGTATAAATCAACGGTGAGCTCCATGAGGATGCCTTCAAGGTGACCTGCGAGTTGCGCTTGCTCAAGGAGCGTTCTCACACAAGAAGCAACTGCATCAGAGTTCGACTGCTCGCGTACGTCGGCATCTGTGTACACCGTAATTTCAACTTCGGTTGTCTCCATATCCGCGTCTTTCCACATCAACTGAGGGAGTGAATAAGTGAACAGATATGTTGGAGACAAACTAACCAATTCGCTGGAGAAGTACAGAGTGCCATGCGGATGAATCTGACAATTCCAAGTGATATCGCCTGCTGTGAACTTGTCGGGACTGCCGGAAGCAAGTTGGCATTCATGTCGCGCATTTAGACGGTATGTGAATCGACGTACAATACCGAAAAATCCTTTTGGCCTGGTGAGATCTGGAAACCTGTATCTATCCTCTGCCGATGATTTGCAGGATGAAGTTCTGGATGAGATTTGAAGAATGTTAATACTCGAAACCTAAATTTGAGAATGAAATTTTACTATAACGTTGAACATCACTTGCAGTCATCGGCTTGATAATTAGAGAAGTACCGTTGTCCTGCAACGAAGTGGTGATGGACACAGAAACATGGTAAGACTCGGCTTCTTCGGTAAGCGAGTCATCCGCGTGAGTGTGTACCGAGTTCTGGCCTGCTGAGTGCCTGGACTCGGAGGAGTGGCAGAGGCTTGGGAGGATGGCTACTGATGAAGTATCAGCGTCACTGCATTGATGCCTATGACGACCAGTGCTGCTGCTCGCGTGTGTATCACTTGAATGCATAAATCTAGAAGTCAAAATTATACGCTGCAAAACATAATATGGGTGTAGAGTTTGTCTGGAAAGCCTGATCACCATGCTTCGAAACAATGCCAGCAGTCTGTGCAGAACACAGTATACATTGCGCATGTCTATAGTTCACTGTGAGTGACGCCTGCGTAGCTTATCTTGCTGAAGAGGAGTATTGGTAACAATTGAGGCCTAAGGCTTGAACGAGATTCGGCACAAAATGCGGATTTGTTGAAAAGTCGCTCGCAAAATGCTTGCGAGCGTTTTAAAATTGGTTAGCTCAGGTCTGGCGTCCGTAACTGTTCGTTTTGGTAATGTTGGACCCTGAAGTTGGGTTACGTTGGATCCTGACGCGACTTTTACGCAAGCCGATCTCGTCCGCATCAGTCTCGAGCCCACTGCATAATGTCATTTGGATGCATCAAAACAGGCTAAGTAGCTTACACAACCAACTTGCCCGTGGAATTATGATCATGGTGAACGTAGCGATCCGTACTAGTGAAGCAGAAGAAAGTGCCAAGTCACCCATGCATGCGACGGAGACCTTATGAAATACCTTGCGTGCCCGTTTTCTAATACTGACTTATCGATTTGTCATATTTTTCGTGTCATCTAGCTAAATCATCTACTTACGCTCGAGCACAGCAATTCAGTCCTCTCAGCAAGCAAACAATTGGATTAGATGTGATTTGTTCGAGGTCGCTTGGTGTCTTGATGTTCTAGTCTTGGTATTATTCAGTGATCGCATCGTGGATCGAATGCATGGCGCAAACGTCCATATGCCTTTAATGTTCCTCTTACGCACTTCCGATTCCAGCGCGTGTACGCGCACTCGAAGAACGAAATCTAGATGCAATTAAATTTTATTCAAGACTGTAAGTCAATACGTGACTCCGAACCTTGACATCATCGTATGATAGTCGATGCTGCGCTTGGCTAAAGACATATGAAACTCGTCAAGATCTTGTTGAGGAATTTCCAACCAGACAAACATCGCCGACTTATGGATATGGTGATTAAGTCATACAAAGATGACGCTTCATTGTCAATGTAAAACCTCTTGAGTTACTGGCTGCCAGTAGACGATCGCTATTGTGTTTTAGCCACGACATAGTTGCCCAAATGTCTCACTCTGAGGCATAGCGAAACATTGCAGCGAACAATGAATTAAAAACAATACATTCACACCTGCGATACGTATATAAGGTCGCCACCAGCATAACTTGTGAACCCATTCACCTCCAACCCCTCTTGCTTTATTCGACCTACCATTTGGCTTATAGGAGCAGTTGAGGATGATTGGCCGTGGGGGAGCTTGTGAAATGGAACTATTGCAAGCCCCCTCAAGGACGGTCTTCTCAAGCCTCCGGTACTCAGACGTCGCCACAAATAGTATGCCGACGCGGGAGTGATCGAGTTTTAGGCGTCCCTCAGGTGGTGCGGCTTAAACTTGATCAACTTCGCGCTGGCCGCAAACTTGCATCCCAGAATGTAGTTGCTCTATGGTTTTCCGAAGGTAAATGTTATATATCATGTTAGTGAAATATAATCACTGACTTACTGTGTGCTGCAGGATATAAATTCGATGAGGGCCGGGCTTGTGCTGTAGTAGGTAGATCTGGAAGGTTCATATTTACTCACTTCAGAACAAGGCCGGTCCAGTCAGGCTTCATTATCCTCGTTCTTGATCCGCGGATCGAGTCAAGATTCGAAGATATAGAACGAGGGTAGGTGGAGGTGGAGGGTGCCGTGATCCTTAACGTTCCAATGGGTTGCCTGCAGGTAAATATTGTAGTTTGTCATATCGTATGACAATAGCTTACCATGCGATGCAGGACATTGTGTACGTCCTATAACGGCGACCTTACACTGACATATGTGACCGTTGGGTTAATGTTCGCATTTGTCAGTGTAAGCCCGCCCTGTCAGGCGCAACTTGAACGTGCGAAACAAGGCATCGCACATAGCATGCGCAACAATGTCTGTGCAGGAACTGCGACATAAGACTTATGTAACATGACAGCGCAAAGCTAGTCCTGTCCGTAGCCCCGGTTCATCGTTTGTTGAACATTCCTATAGTGATTGATAATGATAGAATTTGAGAGGAGTCAACTGCCTGGGTGAACAACGGTCACAGGACTAGAATATATCCGAAGCACGATCATGTCATCCACCGACGATAGACGTCTGAGAGATGATTTTTTTGGTGGCGGAGGAGGAAAATGCCTTAAGCACCGCACGGTTAGGAGACACCTTCCTCGTATTATGGGGAGCTAGAGCCAGGAAATCAGGGAAAAGGTTGGAAAGGTGTAAACAGGATTGCCATTTGGCTAGCGCGGTGGCGATGACTAAAAGCATATGTGGGACATTTGGGGACAAGGATTGCATAATGTGATCCACTTGAACAGTGCCAGGGGATAGACACCAAGAATCGAATTGCACCAGTCAAAATATACAGGAGACCTGGTTGAGAGCAAGACTATGAAACGCAATACTGAGAGGTCCATGGAAAATCTGGAGATGACGAACTTACTACGCAGGAATGCAAGCTTGTGGGATAATATGACCGTAATGCCGAAGGATGAATTGTCATGGTTATGTGCTTGATCTGCACAGCCAGTGCTGAAGCTGTGAAGCGAAAGCAACGAAGACGCACCAATAAAAGACTTGAACAACGACTTCCTGACTTGGATCTTCATCAAACGAAACGCCCACTCCATAGTAGCTTTTGCCTTTCTGTGTATGAGTCGAGTAGCATCTGGATTCTGAGTAAGTGATCGATTTGTACGGTAATTGATGGCAAGAGCTAAAATTGTGACGCACCTATTAAGTGAAACCCGAAATCAAAACCGTGGGGCATCCAGCTCCTGCGAAGCACAAGAATTCAGCAACAACGCCTTACCGAAATATCACAGTAGATACCAGCATCGAACACATCCTACACTTGCCCGGTGGACAGCGCGTCGTCACCTATTCCTTGGATGGGTCATTTCGAATCTGGGACTTGAGAGGGGGCACACAGGTTGGGGAGGAATGGGAGGACAAAGAAATAGGAGTGCATGCCATAGCATTATCGCCGGATGGCAAAATCGTGGCAAGCGGGAGTTGGGATGGTGCAGTGAGATTGTGGAACATCGACACGGGCACGGTTATCAAAAAGTGGACGGGGCATACAGAGTTGGTGCATCACACGTGCTGGAGTTCAGATGGAGGGCGAATAGTGAGCGGATCCGAAGATGGAACATTCAGAGTATGGGATGTCGAGAGCGGAAAAACCATCATTGGACCAATGAAAGCAGGGGAATTGCACACGGTTTGCTACTCACCTGATGCTAAGGTGATTGCCACAGGCGGGGATGAGCTGAAAATCTGGAATGCCAACACAGGCGAATTGCTCAAAACACTCCAGGGTTGTTTTTCATGCCTGGAATGGACCTCAGATGGCAAAACGCTTTTCGCCGGGGGATCCAAATTCAACACAGCCACCTGGACTGTCATTGACGTGCGCGAACACTTCGTCTATACCATCTCAATATCCCCCAATGAGTGCATCTTCGCAAGCACATCAAACTTCTGGGACAACACAATACAACTATGGAACTTTGAAACCAATCAACCCATCGGAGTACCACTTCACCATAAACACAGGGTGAACTCTGCGACCTTTTCTGCAGATGGAAAGTTCCTCATCACTAGCTGCCCCGACGGCCACATTTACACATGGGATGTTTCCGCTATCATCAAAGAAGCTGGTCTTCTGTCAGACATTGTAGGCCTAAACACATTTCATTCTCAATGACACTGACGGCGGATCTGCTCCCTCAGGTTGATGCTACACCGCGACCAGCTCCAAAGGTGAAAGATGCTCCTCGAATACCTCTAGGGTTCTTTGACGATGCACTGCGAGGGGATAATGTATGCGATCTCCATCTAATATTCAATGCTGTGACCGATATGTTGTCAGCTGCGCATTCGTCTATCCCAATCCCATGAGCTACATGACCGCCCCGCTCCAGCACCACGTCAACACACCCTCAGTCCCTTTTCCTCATTCTGGCGCTCCGAGTCACATGGGGCAACTGAGCGCGACACTCAATCCCGATCCCGACCTCTCAGCTGGACTCGAAACCTAGTATCTCGTATACGCAGACGAGATGGATCAGACATCCAGTTGCGAGAGGTCGAGGTCCCTTACACAGCGGGAAAGCCTGTGCGTTTTGTTTCCATCTTCTCCACTGACCATCCACTGACTCTTTTTCTCCCAGAGGAACCATCACGCGAGGAAGAAGCTAGCCGCCAGCTCGTCTCGACCTTCCAATACTCATATCACACAGCAACACAGCGCGACAACAAAGAGTACACCACCATCGTCACAGCAACTACCACCCATTTCGACTGCCCCGACACCGTCCATTGTCTCTGGTACCGCTGAGGCAACGGGAACAACCTCACGTCCTCATATCACCGTTACTGGATGGCGTGCTCGTTTTGTTGGCTGGTTGTGTTGTATGCCTATTCAAAGCGGTCAACATTAATATTAGTGACACAGTCCAGCTACTGCATTGGCTACCAGAACGACATCGCGACGCAATATCACTGTCGTACAGGCCGGATGCTGGACACGTTTCTTACTCCTCGCTGACATTTTCTATTGTCTCATATCATTCTCGTAGACCTCCTCCACTGAGTCGTTTTTTTGTGATCCATTTCTGTCTGTTGAGATATAGACTCTAGTCATTACTTGCTAGTCTAATGGGGCCCACTTCATCATTGTACTGTATTTCCTACTATAATGTTTCGTTCTTGACATGGCAATTCTTAGTGCGAAATTCCTGGTAGAACGTTGTGTATGATGCATCATACACAACGTTCTACCAGGAATTTCGCACTCAGTCCTTGTCGATGCTAGCGACATTCTTGCAATTGAACGAATGCTGCAGTGAGCGTATTTTGACTCCTGCTCAAGTGCTCTTGTGGTTGGTCATGTGCGTGTTATCCGTCTTGCTGGATCTCTCACGCAACGACCTGGAAATGGACTGGGTTCAAGGCTCCCTTCATATGTTACCGAAATCATTGTCCTCGTGGCGCTCTGTTTCTTGATGTATTGAGATACGGTGTGTCTGACCGGAAAATACTTCCTCGGAGTCGGTTGCCGTAGTATAATTCGCGAAATAGTGTCAATGCTGTATGAGGCCGCTAACATCACGATCAACTTCCTGTGGGGAGCAAGGGATCCACCTTTTATTTGAGACACATATGAGCAGCGCGATGTGTTGCTCATCCAGGACGGTCACCGTCGGGAGTGGTAGGATGTGGCATTGTTAGAGTACTGCCACAACTGAGTGTTATGAGCGACGTCGAGCGGATACTAGCAACTATTCGAGCAGAAACACTAGAGATTGACTAGATTGCACGTGAGAGTTATCCGGGGAAGCTAGGATGGTGCTGGGTTTGTAGTATCGTCTGCGGCATTGTTAGAAACGGCTACATTGCATTTCAACAACCACCCAGACGGTAGTACCACGATAAAACTTAGCCACAGCACTCGGGCTACGTCGTCCGTCATATAGTGGTGGTTCTGGGTCGCCGTTCGTTATTTGCGCCAGTGGTAGCGAGTGGTTGATATAATATCCAGATGATCCCAAAATTACTAATGCTCCCACTCGCCCCTCGCGGGGTTTCAGGGTTCGAGGTCTCGACCATTTTGAAGATGAGATGTATACGAAAGGAATTGATGAATGCATATATGCGAGAACCCTCCACTGAAAAAGAGGAGCAAGATGGGGACGATGAGAGTAAAGAAAAGACTCAGAGACGCACCTTGTATGCGCCACTCGATTAGTAAGCCATTTCCTGATCATGACGTTACCCAAAGGTCTACCGACCCTCCAATCGTCTAGCTCAAAGAATTGGACACGTCCAGACAACGTGTTTTGTACTGACCACACAGGAGAATCCTTTATAAGCTGCACGACTAACCCAGCCTTACGTGGACCAGCAACAGACCATGTGCCCATCCTAAGCATCCTCGAACTCGAACTCCCCCAAGCGACGACTGATATCAAGCACAACTACCGTGAAGCAGACTGGGAAGTATTCAACGAGGAACTAGAACTAGAGTTGGACAAGATCCTACCAGCTCAACCGCTCATTACGGAAGCCGAATTCCAGACTGCGGCACGCACTCTTACGGCCGCAATCCAAGCAGTCATAGAACGAGTCGTCCCCAAGTCCAAGTCCAACCCCCACTCCAAGAGGTGGTGGACCAAGGACCTAACCATCATGCGTCGCGAGGTCACGAAATTAAGCCATCTCTCGTACAAGCACAGAGACTTTGCAGGCCACTACAGCCACGAGGAGCACCGAATCAAACGCAATCAATACGCTGAAGCCATCAAACGGACCAAGAAGGACCACTGGATCGAATGGCTAGAGGACCTCTCAGGTAATGACATATGGACTGCTAACAGATACCTTACAGCAACAGCTAGCGACGGAGGCTTATCTAGAATCCCCACCCTCAAGCGATCAGGCGGAGGCACAGCCGACACCAACAAGGATAAGAGCGAGGCCTTAGCACAAGCTTTCTTCCCCCCCCCTCCAGAACACTCATCAGTACCGGAAGACTACAACTACCCGGACGCCGTCCCTACCCCGGCACCTATATCTATGACGCAGATCGAGCGTAGCATCTCAAAGTTGAGCCCATACAAGGCCCCAGGCCCTGATGGGATTTGTAATATAGTATTCAAACGTTGCACATACTTACTCCAACCTTACCTTCTCCATTTGTACAGGGCCGTATTCACACTCAAGACGTACTATAACCCATGGCGCGACTTCATAACTGTTGTCCTACGAAAGCCGGGTAAACCGGACTACACAGTAACGAAAGCCTTCAGACCGATAGCGCTTCTCAACACGACCGCCAAGCTATTGACTGCCATAGTAGCAGATGAAATGACCTACCTCCTAGAACGACACAACCTTCTCCCCAGCACACACTTTGGAGGCAGGCCGGGTCGCTCAACGACAGACTCACTCCATCTACTCGAAGCCACGATCAAGGACGCATGGCGCCAAAAGAAGGTAGTATCTGCTTTGTTTCTAGATATAGAGGGAGCCTTCCCGAATGCGGTTACTGACCGGTTACTACACAACATGCGTACCAGGAGACTCCCAGAAACACTGGTGAGATTCACGGAACGACTGCTGACAGGAAGGCGCACGCAACTCAAATTCGACGGACACTTATCGGATTGGATCCCTATTACTAACGGTATCGGACAGGGCGACCCTCCTCTCTCAATGATATTATATATCATATACGACTCGGACTTGGTAGATATAGCCAAGGGTCACACGAAGACTGAACGCACCCTTGCATTTGTAGACGACACGGCATTTATAGCCATCGGGAAGACCTTCCAAGAGACTCACAATACATTGAAGAACATGTTGGAACGTAGAGGAGGAGGCTACGAGTGGGCCCTAGCGCACAATTCGAAATTTGAAACGTCTAAGTTCGCACTAATGGACTTTTCTCTGAATTCAGCTAAAGACCGGCCCCCACTAATCACGCGCGGTACCACGATCACGCCCACCGCGACACACAAATTCTTGGGAGTTATATTGGACGATGCGCTCAGATGGCAAGCTCACATAGCCTACACCATAGCGAAAGGTACAGCCTACGTCTTCCAACTTCACCGGCTCTCCTCCACGTCCAATGGTATTCCACTCTCCCTGATGCGTCAGCTGTACCTATCCGTAGCACTACCGAAAATGCTCTACGCAGTCGACTTATGGTTTCGCCCTTTGTTTGTCGGCAACAACGACAAACCTCAACTGGGATCGATAGGAGTAGCCCGTCGTATAGGCCGAGTACAAAGACTCGCTGCCCTAAGTATTACAGGCGCCATGAGAACCACCGCTAATGATACCTTAGAGATTCACGCAAAGCTACTCCCGATGGAACACCGGATGCAAAACCTATGCTATCAAGCCGCAATACGACTAGCCGCGCACCCGAAGTCTCATCCGCTAAGCGAACCCGTCCGTAAAGCAGCCAAGAAGTATGTCAAACACCACCGCTCATCCCTGCATCATATATATCATGCCGCTGAACTCGACATCAACTCGGTCGAGACCATCAAACACAGCAGACGTCCCCCGAATGACAAGAACTCATACTCTACCCACATCGCATCGACAAGAGAACTAGCCATAGCAGCCCATAATGCTAACAACGATGAAGTAAAGGTCTACTGCGACGGGTCAGGGATAGACAAGAAAGTAGGGGCGGCGGCAGTACTGTACAGAAGAGGAAAACAACGCCCGAGTATCCTACGCTACCATCTTGGAACTACTGACGAGCACACAGTCTTTGAGGCAGAAGTCGTCGGTTTAACGTTAGCAGCTCAGTTGATCTCGCAAGAAGAAGATATCACGTATCCCGTCTCCATATTCGTCGATAACCAGGCATCGATTAAATCCGGTGACATCTTCTCCACCAAACCAGGCCATTACCTGACAGACCATTTCCGTAGTATATTGAATCAACTTAAGAAAACCAGCCGCAACCGAAACTTCAAGGTCAACGTTCATTGGATCTCAGGGCACGATGGAGTAGAAGGAAACGAGAAGGCAGACAAGGAGGCTAAGATAGCAGCAAAGAACCGCAGGGACAACAGCGCCACGCACAGACTGCCACCATACCTTTGGAAGGGAGTCCTCCCCAGTAGCCTGTCGGCGTTGAAACAGGCCCAGAAGAAAGATTCATCGAACCGCTGGAATAGAATTTGGCTAAAGTCCCCAAGACACGCTCACGCTACCTCCATCGACCCCAAGCTCAACGCTGCAAGCAAATCGTTCATCTCGCTAGTTCAACATCTACCTAAGCGGCACATCAGTTTAATGCTCTGGCTCCGCACCCGCCATATCTCACTCAATCAACATCTGCATCGCATTGGAAAAAGCATGTCCCCCAACTGCCCTCACTGCGTCGACACCCCAGAGACCGTCCAACACTTCCTCTTATCCTGCCCGCAATACGCACGTGAGCGTCACACACTCACCAATGTCCTCAAACGTCGCGCACTCTCCATTTCATACCTGCTGTCAGATGCCAAAGCCACGGACCATATCATTCGATACATTAACAGTACAGGACGCTTGAAACCCACTTTTGGTGATGTCCCTCCCAGTACTCGCAAGAAATAGATAACGTCAGTTTGCCCCACAGAACAAACAAACATCCTACGCGTGCTTGCAACCCATGCAAGCACCTGGTAGCACTCGCTGACACAGGGCAACACGCGCCAACCCAAGGCCAATCTGGAGATCAGTCGGAAGGAGACACATGAGTTGAGGAAGGGCTAGAACTTTCGTCGAAGAGCCACACGGTACAGCAGGGATCAACTCGCAGCACGTCGCGCCAGCCCAGTCTTACCTTTACCTTTCTATCCGCGCTCCACTTACTCCCCTCGTACAACGATCGCTCAGGCGGTCCGAGTATTTGTATATCCATTATCACACGTCAGGCCTACATACAAACGAGAAGTATCAGAAACGGCCCCGTGGAGTAGTAGGCTCGTGCACCTAAAACAGCCGGCGGGAACGGCGGACCAGTAGAGGCCATACCTCTATTGGGGCATTTGCAGAGCCGGAGACACGGCAGGGGACACAGGTGTCCCCCTTTCCTAGATAGAATTGTCCTACATAGGGTATTGTACCCCAATCGGACAAAAATTGGATTAAAAAAAAAAAAAAAAAAAAAAAAGCCATTTCCTCACTCGCAGGCGCTCGAACTGTCTTGCTTGAATACATCGTTCATGTGTCTGAACATCTGTCTCTTTCAGTGAACTCGGATACCTGAGTGGTAAGATGTCTTAACCATTAACTTGCGCCGTTCTCATATTTTTTGATAGGAGACCGCCGATGCCTAGCCCTAGTGCGCCTGATCCACCGCCACCGCCCGAGGTGCCTCCCCCACCTCTTGATGAACCCGGACCCCCTTATCCATCATGGCGCACACTCCGCAACACGAGTCGCTCTCACAAGCCACGTCCAGACCAGCCACCGCTCCCTGAACCTGGTCCTGCACCTATGGGGGAGCCTGTGCATTCCTGGGTTACCTGGCATCGTGAGTATCGACTTTTCATTGCATCATTTATTGACGCCATGGATACTAGCAGACCCTTCACTGGCACCTACGCCGCCGTCGATTGGGCCTCACCTGATTGCACCTGACGATGGCAGTCCTGGTCTCTTCGGACCTCGCTCGCCACGGACCCCTGAACTTGGTCCTACACCTATGGGGGAGCCTGTGCATTCCTGGGTTACCTTGCATCGCGAGTATTGAGTTTTCATTGCATCATTTAAGAAGGTGAATTGACGCCATGGATGCTAGCAAACCCTGCACTGGCGCCTACGCCGCCGCTCATTGGGCCTCACTTGATTGTACCCGACGATGGCAGTCCTGGTCTCTTCGGACCTCGCCCGCCACGGCCCTCTGAACTTGGTCCTGCACCTATGGGGGAGCCTGTGCATTCCTGGGTTACCTGACATCGCGAGTATTGAGTTTTCATTGCATCATTTAAGAAGGTGAATTGACGCCATGGATGCTAGAAAACCCTGCACTGGCGCCTATGCCGCCGCTGATTGAGCCTCACCTGCTTTTACCTGACGAGGGCAGTCCTGGTCTCTTCGGACCTCGCTCGCCACGGACCCCTGAACTTGGTCCTACACCTATGGGGGAGCCTGTGCATTCCTGGGTACCTGGCATCGTGAGTATCGAGTTTTCATTGCATCGTGAATTGATGCCATGGATACTAGCAAACCCTGCACGGGCGTCTACGCCGTCGTCGATTGAGTCCAACCTGATTGTACCTGACGAGGGCAGTCCTGGTCTCTTCGGACCTCGCTCGCCACGGCTCCCTGAACTTGGTCCTGCACCTATGGGGGAGCCTGTGCATTCCTGGGTTACCTGGCATCGTGAGTATTGAGTTTCCATTGCATCGTTTAAGAAGGTGAATTGACGCCATGGATGCTAGCAAACCCTGCACTGGCGCCTACGCCGCCGCTGATTGAGCCTCACCTGTTTGTACCTGACGATGGCAGTCCTGGTCTCTTCGGACCTCGCTCGCCACGTAGCTACCGGTAAAGACTCATTGCCTCGTCACAAAATAGAGCCCAGGAGCTACATTCTATGCATCATATCCTATGACAGTCTTGATGACATCTAACCAGTATATTTCCCCCTACCTTTGTCTTGCTCTTCATCTGTCCTCCCCGTATCTACTACTGCACCTGCTTTGATTTTTGTGTCCGTGCTCTGCTCCTGGTTGCGTTGTATATTTTGTGATCTCATCGTATAGCTTCTCTGGAGCTGGACTCACGTTCTATCAAATTTGCAAATGGATGCACACTTATGACTTTCGAACTGCAAGTCATGAGGTTTTGGCTGATGAGTCGTGGCTATCCGAAGATGTAAGTATGAATGTAGTACTGGTGCTCAGTGAAAAATGCAAGTAATAAATACTAGTTGTACATGATTGACTGGCAATCATCGGGCGAACATGAAAGCCCCTGCTGCTGAGGGTGTTCCTGGTAATGAGGACGGTGCGACCACAGAGGGCGTCACTGGGTCGCTTCTTGGGCGATGGCGCCCTCTAGCACCAACTTCAACTTAGTTGCAAGTCCCTCTGTAAGAAGAGTCGGGCCATCAGAAGTGCAGAGGCGATAAGATGACATGGACTGGTACGTGTCGGGAAGAATCTTCCAAGAAGCTGATGAATAATATTAAGCAGAACGCATCAAAGCTCACTTCGCTATCCTGCACTAATACAGAGGCGATGATATCATCTGGGTCGCCTATTCTGCCTAGGGCTGGAAGGTTGCGGCTGTCTGAGACAATGTTCGTGGTTCTAACCGAACGTAAGCAGAGTTGGAGCATCGCATACCGTGTATATGCATCCAGCCTTGTTGTAATTGCAGTGCAGCGTTGATCCAAATATCGTCCACGTTTTCCTGTAACCCGGTTTGGATTGCCTCGTGCATGATTATGCGAAACTTGGCTGTGCAAACAGTCAGTTCAGTTGGTATGTGAATCAATAGGAACAATTTACTGCAAATAACATACGGTTCTCTACGAAATCATTTAACCCGGCTTCCGCGTCCGCTTCCCCTGCAGTCTCTGCGGGTAACCATCCCATGACAGAGCACGAATCGGGAGTCGATGGTAATTGAGTGAGGAAGGAAACTGCATAGGCTGAGCCTACCATTGGAAGCGAAATGGGGTGGTAGAAGAAGTCGGGACGAGATGAATCCGATATTACTGAATTGGAGGTTGAGTAGCGCGCGAAGAGAGCATGCGTGCGACTGGTTGGAGACGCAACTCGGGAAGCCGCGTGCGCTGAGGGGAAACGGACGGAAGTGAAAGGGCTGAAGGACCTCCTACACAGCAGTGAGCTGAATAGTCGTATCATGCACATAGTTTGGCAGTGTCGTCGCGTTAATCGATGTCCGTAGCATGTTAGGCAGTATCTGCTGAGTCGCGAGGATATAACCACCTTGAACTTGAAGTTCGCAAAGCCGATTTTGATTTGCATCACGTCATCCGCAACCGGACACAACTTAATCAAGGAAGTTCCCGCTTGGACTTGGGGAAGTCCGAAGCGCTCATATCTAAAGTTGATTCTAAACCCCATCCTAGGCTACCATGACGGACAAGATCTCGGATCTGCCAAGCGCATTCAAGTTGGGCCTCGACTCGGGTGGTTTTACTTCTAGCAGATCCCCAAGATATTCACGCTAAGTTGTTGAACCTAGCAGGCCCGACACAGAACATGACGAAAGCGAAGTCATGCCAGCCGTCTGAGTCACCCTCGAGAACAAGCTGGTCGATGTGCAGGAGCAGCGTATGCCAAACTCTTTTGCCATTACTGTCACGGCTCGGAGAAAACTGTAACTCGTCGGGTGGGTGGCCCCGGAAGGTGGGACTATCGGGACAATATTTGCGATGTTTTCTTTGCAGTTTGTCGATGTCCGTCGTGTTCATACAACCTGTGGTACTGCCACCAAAACCAAGTCCACCGAAATGAAGACCCTGTACGAGCTGAAGGCAAAGAAAATCGAAGAATATCAAGGTTCACAACTTTCGCTTTTCAAAGTCTCGACAATGAAAACCCCGCCATCAGTCCACATTACACAATATGAGCCACTCGATCAAGTTGTCGATGGGGATATTTTCCGGGATCCTTCATCAGGCTCCTACCTGCATCTTAATCTTTAAGACTCGTCATTTTGCATCCCAGCCTTGCTCAATCTCCTGCTATAACACGTCATTCAGTCACAAATGCCCACCAGTTTGGACAGTATCCTGACCTTGGATCCCGCGACCACTTCCACCTCCTCGCCTTCCAGTACAGAACCACACCCTGTGCCATACTACGCGACCTGGGGCGATTTAGTGGACGACTACTACAGGATGACTCCAAGTTTGTTGCCTGAGGACAGCTCGGACTTGCTCCTCCCTGCACTCCAAGAATCTCGATTGTCACATGCAGTTCGTATCCAGCTTCTACAAGACAGTCAGATCGCTCTAGATCTGTTGTTTGAGGACGTTGAGACAGACGACCGCATGAGCAAAGAGGTTTCCAAACCACCGTATTCGCCGCGGGGCTGCCTCGCGCCCCCGCCGGACTATGTCCCATTTTCGCCGGAGGGCTACATCAATGAACCCCTCATCTACTTCTTGCCGCAGGACTTGATGCCGGCCTACCACTGCCTCCCACACCCACCGAGCTACGCCTCAGTTCTACCACAGTAGCTTCGGGTTGTCGTGTTCCATGACTTCTGAACCTTATTCATCTCGTACACCCTAACCCCAAACACGTCATCCATCGGTCGTTCATGCACACCTACTAAGGATGGAGAAGTGGAATAAGCGTCGAGAAGCAGTTGAAGAATGGAAGGATGGTGTATGACGTAGATAAGATCTCAATATTTGTGTCGCGTGAATTATGTACATTATCCATTCCTTGAGGGTAAATAAGAGTGGTCCGAGTGACACATCGTATATACGGTACAGCATAAACTTGAATTGAGATTCGCCAAATTATAACTAAGGAACGAAGACAAGGATGGATAAAGGGAGAAAAAGATGAAATTTTATGACGCTGACTGAAGGCTCAGAAGGTGCGATGATGGACTTAATGCAGAAACCAAGGAGCTACGATAGCAATGAACACAAGTGGAATGAAAACTAGACCAGACAGCGACGTAAGGGAGACATAAGGCAGTACGTCTTGAGGCAGGAGAGGGAGATTACAGCACGAGTAGGGTATCGGTGGCGAGCAGTGGGCATGGATGCGTGTCGATGGCTTAGGGTTCCAGCCCTGAAATTATCGCTGTAGATCGGCACGCCTATAAACTAGATCAGTGAATGTTCAAATGACAGCCAAAGCAGCGGGACGCACTCTCTGATGGTGTCATACAAGAACTTGTAGCTCCTGAGATTACCTTTCAGGCGACGAATGTCAAGGCTATACGTGTCTTTCAAACGATCTATGCGTGTCAATTCGATTGAGAAGCGAACTTCATCCCCTGCATCTTGGCTTGTATCACCATAAATTGCCTCATGAGTGCCCGTTTGTGAGTCGACTGGTGATGAAGCCGTGGCGCCAGTGTCATCGTCCATCGAAGCTTGGGATGGCGCCACGCCTGATACCTGGGAAGACTGCCTGCGCATAAGCAAGCCTTTGAGCATCCCTCCCGCAGACGATGAAGTCGATGGCACAGGCAATCCGCGCTTGTCAACCTGGCCATCAAAATTAGAGCAATCCACAACATCGACCGGTTGAACTCACCCCATTCGATGCTGCAGACCCAACCATCGTGAACGCAGCCAACCCATTACCACTTCCAGTGAATCCCAAGCCAATAGCACTGCTCTTCTTCCTCTTCGCACGGATACAGCGGTACTTGTATTCGCTCTCCGCTTTGAGCTCGATGCCCATCCCCTCCAGTACCTGGCATACGTGTTTGATAACTTCGGGGGGAGGCCTGGTCGTGATAGTGGTCTGGTCGACAGCGCCATGATGGATACGCAAAACATCTTTTGGCGACGACGAAGACGAGAACATGCGGCCGGCTTTGCTGAACGAGAAGGATGCGTCCTGTGCGGGATGTGTTCTAGATAGATCCGCGTTTCTGATCTCCACTCTCGAGGTAGGACTGGGAGAAGGATACTCTGTCCTACGATAGGCAGACATTTCAGGGGAATCGTCTGGCACGTCCCTGCCAGCCTTGGCGGTACTCTTCCTCCGGAACCATTGCATGACGTTCCGTGCCTTCGTCGTTGAAGCTGCCATATCGCCAGTGGGTCCGTCCTGCACCTTGCCCAGAGTGGGGAACACAGCAGTTTGCTTTTGAGGTGAAGTAACAGCAGACGGGGGAACGCTCTTCTCGTTGTCCTTAACCGGCGTGTCACCAGCAGGCGTCTTCTTTGAGAGTGATTTGATTGAGCGGCTGAAGGGCTCGACGATAACGGTGAGGGTGTTACGCCGGTTCTTTTTGCTTGCCTCGGCATCAGTGATGCTGTTGGATCCCCCTGGGCTGAGGAGCGAAGACTTGGACTGAGAGGTTGGGACATCGCTGACGCTGTTCTGCGCTGAACCTCTCCTCTCCTCTACGATGGAGGATGCCCCAGCAGCAGAGCTCTCCGACGGCACACGGGATGTGGATCCATTGGCTGCAGCTTGCTCACCATTTGTACCAAATATCTTGCCCAAACCGAACTTGTCGATGGAGAGACCTTTCCGATGGCGGCTAGAGGCAGAGCCCGTTGAATTGGTTCCGTTGCCTGTGTTGACAGACCGAAACGACTTGTCCTCCGTGGACATAGGGGGACTTGCTGGAGAAACTGAGACGGTGGGTGTCCGATTTTGCGCAGCACGTAAGGTCGACGAAGACAATTGAGATGGTTGGTTTCGTGAGGAAGGTGTACTGGCTGCAGGAGGGGCAGGAAGCGGTCTTGGGTTTGTATTGAAGGAAGAGTCGTGACTGGACTTCTGCTTTGCAGGAGTACTGATGTTTGGGGTGGGAAGGATGCGATCTGAGGTACCTGTCTGTGAGCTGTCCTTCTTGGTGATAGGCTGACTGAAATGTGGAGCAAGCTCCGGCATCGGAGCACTGTGGTCGGCATACTCGACCTGGATCGTATGTCTATCAATTGTGCCCTTCTTCTTTGTGGGATCTGGTTGGACAGATGACGGAGGACCGTTACGAGAAGATAGGGCTCCTTGAGAGCTACCTTCTCTACTGCTCCTTCCAACCGACGGTGTGTCATCAGGCTTGGAGATGGTAACGGGGATATGAACAGCATGTAGAGATGGTGCGAAGGGATCATCATCATTGGACGATTGTACTGTCTTCGGCATAACGACGGCAGAAACTGTGCCTTTCCGGGAAGCGGGAACAGTATTGGCGGGAGAAGACGAGGAGTAAATGGACTGGTCTACTGAACTGTCATAGATCAGCTCCGGCTGGCCAGAAGGTTGGTCTCTGTATGAGTGGCTCCTTGGCGGTGGTGCGGAGGTGACCGCGCTGTTTAAGATCCCTTCAACCCGTGCGCTCTGCGTCCGTGACACCTTGGCAGGATCTTTGGCTGCAGCGGCTGCCGCCGCCTGCCTCATTTGCCTTTGGTATGCCAGTCTCCTCTGCTGGTGCTGTTCCATTGCAACGTGCTCCAGGTCATCCACGGTCTTCTCAAAGAGATAGGAATATGTTGATAGCCATGGATGTGCCATGATGGACCGCAGATCAGCACGCCGTGTGGGATCGGGGACTAGCATCATAGAGAGGAGATCTCTGGCTTCCGCGGAGACATAGTCGGGAAAAGAGAGGGGTGTGTTGACGATGTATTTATATAACAGATTAATGTTATCACCGTCAGGGTTAGCAGGGTCATCGTCGAAAGGAAGATATCCCGCGAGCATGGCATACAATATGACGCCACAGGACCAGATGTCGACGGCAGAACCGACATAAAGCCCTTCCGAGATCACTAACTCTGGAGCGGCATAACAAGGTGAACCACAGCTCGTCTGCATGAGGTCATCTGCACGATGCTCGAAGCGATTGGCGAATCCGAAGTCAGTGATAATGACATTACGGTGGCGATCGAGAAGCAAATTTTCAAGCTTGAGGTCGCGGTGAACGATCTTCTTTTGGTGGATGTACCAGACGCCCGAAATTAGCTGAGAGAAGAGCTTGGCAGCATCTTTCTCTTTTAAATACCGATGAGCCAGGATGTGATCAAAGAGCTCGCCGCCGGAGGCATACTCGAGAATTATGCCGATATATTTGTCCGTTTCGATTACGTCGTATAACCGAACGATATTGGGATGCTTGAGGGTCTATGAATGGACGGTTATCGGCATCATGGACTCGATTCTAGAACGTATGGAGTTCTTACCCGAAGAACCTCGATCTCACGCTCCACCTTGGACATCCGCACAGAGGTGTCTATGTTGCCTCGCCGTATAAGCTTGACAGCGACTTCTTCTCCCCATTGACTGTGTAGCCCCAGCTTCACTTTCCCAAACTCTCCTTCGCCAACAGTTTGAAGTAAAATATACGGCCCAAACTTAGGAATGGTACGCCTTGGGTGTGCCGCAGTATATGCCACAGCAGCTGGGTGCGAGTAAACATCACGATAAGCGGGCTGATCTTCGGCTTGCTGCTGCAGTTGCTGCTGCGAAGAGACCACTTGGTGTGATGCTCTTTGTCTCCGTGACGTGGACTGTGACGTGGTTACAGGTGATGGCTGCACAGACACAGACACAGTACGCGAAGCGCCATGGTGTCGAGAAGGACCTGCATAAGAATTGTCTGGGATTTGAAGACTGTCCATAAGAGCGAAGAGAAACTGGTGAAGCTCGCAGTTAGACTTTGTATATAGTTCGACCCGAAAGCTGGCCACTCTTTACAGATACATGTAAAAACAACACAGCCGCGTGGGGATTGCTGGACTGCCCGAACATAACTAAAAGAGACAAGGATGAGGACTCACAGCTTCTTCTTATACCCGCTTCTGATAGTATGTACTGCAGCTCAGATCTTTAGTTTTAACCAGCAGTTACGAAGGATGACAGGATGGGTGATAGATGCAAAGAATGTTGATATTCGAAGGCTTGAAATGAGAAGACCACACGCGACGGCGTGGGAGATGATGGCACACCTGGCATTCCGTTGATCGTCAATTCATCATCCTAAGGCAAAAAACTGATTCGAACAAATTGCTCACCGTCCGCTAAAATCCGGGGTATTCTGTTACTACCTTGCGCTTTATGAAAGCAACGGAAAGACGGACAACTGGCAAAGAACCGTGAGCGCCGTTACAGCTTACTGCGAACAGACCCGCGGTTAGCGGTTGTTCAACTTTTCCAACACCGCACCGGGATCTCGGCATCTTGTCATGAGAGTAAGAACATCCTTAAAATTTAGTGATATGTATGAATTTCGCTTTTTTGACTTCTTGTAGTGGCCACCCCTCCCCGTATGAAACTTCTCAAGAGCTTCGTCAAACGCTCAATTCCACTTTAACACCGTCCGCAACTGCCACTTTCAGCTCCTCCTCATCTAATGCTGGTTGAACCCACTCCTTCAGGAACTTGTCCACCTGCTCTGGTGCCCGCCCGATAAAGGTTTGCGGTTCCAGCAGTTGCTCTAATTCCTCATGGATAGGACTGAAATACGGGTCGTTTCGCACACGTGCGATAAGATCATTCTCGAGGCCGAGGTTCTTCACTTGGTGTGCTGCTTCGTGGGAGAGGACCTAGTATGATGAAAGTATCAGTATGGTGCCACAACAGTGATATGTATAGAGGTCATTTACTCTGATCTTCTCATGAGCTTCTTGCCTATCGCCCCCCTTCTTGACGATAGACATGATAATATTTTCAGTCGCCATGAACGGAAGTTCCTGGGAAATCCGGCGCGCGATAACCCTCGGGTACACCACGAGGCCCTCACAGACATTTTGTAGCGTCGAGAGAACTATATCAGCCGTCAAGAATGCCTCAGGAAGAGTTATCCTTCGGTTTGCACTTGACATCGTCATGTCAGCATGCAACCCGCAAATCTTGATTAATCGGAAATTACCTGTCATCGAGTGTCCGCTCAAACCACTGTACACTAGAGGTCATAAGTGCATTTTGATGGAGGACCATCAAGTGCCTCGAAAGACTGCATACACGCTCCGAGCGCATCGGATTCCGCTTGTACGCCATTGCGGAGGACCCTATCTGCGTCGACTCGAAGGGCTCTTCCACTTCCTAATAGACAACCGTCAATAACGGTAAAATCGAATCAGTAGGCTATAAGATGACCTTGAGGTTTGCTAGCAACCGCAGATCTGTCGCGATCTTGTGCGCTGTGGCGCCGAGGGACGCGAGAGGGGCAAGGACGTCAATATCTATCTTCCTCGAATATGTCTGCGAGGTAACGGGATATGCGTAGTCGAACCCGCTGAGTTTTGTCACAAGTTTGTCCAGCTCTTCGACCTTGTCATGGTCACCGTCAAACAAGGTCAAGAAGCTCGCTTGTGTCCCCGTGGTGCCTTTGACGCCACGGAATCCGATGTCGTTGCGTGCCCGTTTAATGTTCCTCAAATCCCATAGAAGCTCCTGCGCGTGTAATACGTGTTAGGTTACATTCAGAACTTTAATATATTAGACATTGCACCTGAATCCACAGAGTAGCACGTTTGCCCACAGTTGTAAGCTGTGCTGGTTGGAAATGCGTGAATCCAAGCGTAGGGAGTGCTCTATATTGTGCAGCAAAAGCCGAGAGTCGTGATATTACAACAGCAAGCGATTTAAGGAGGAATGTCAAGCCGGTGCGCATGAAAATCAAGTCCGCATTACTACAATCGGGTGTCAGTCTAAGTCACAGCGGAAATGAAATCCCGACTCTTACTCTGTCACATAGCACGACGTTGCACCGAGGCTGAAATGAGCGCACGTTCAGTAAAGGGACGAAAAAGACAGTGACATGACGTGCTGAATGATACCTGCGGCAGCAGGTGCAACTTGTCCGAACGTATGAACATGCGCCATGACATCGTGGCGACGCTTCTTTTCCTCTTTCGCAGCAACATCGAATTGTTCTGCAGTAAGGTCCTGGCCACATTGAAAATGAGGTACGTAACAGTGTGATACCAATCTATTTACCCACCAAATTGCTCTTCATCTGTTCGAGTGCCTCATCCGGGATAGGAAGCCCGAGCTGCTTTTCAGCAATCGCAAGGTTGAGCCATAGCTCTCTCCAGGTTTTGAATCGATGCTTGTCATAAAGTTAAGCAGGAGTTGCAATAGACGATGCGATCACATACTGCCGGGGAGAAGAGATGAGCCATTTCCTTGCTGGCATATCGGCTATCACAGAAGTGAATCGAGACGGAAATTGACTTGGTGAAGAGTGAAATACCTGGAAAGAGGAGTCTGATACGTTTCGTACGCCTCCATAGCTTGAACAATAGCGTTTGACTTGGCGGTTAGATTTTTGTGATGATGATCAAGATCAAGATCTTTAAAGATTTTAGACGCAGCCGCCACGTGGTATTGTTGATTTCAGCAATCTCCGGCGGAACTTATAAAAACGACAAAATGATAATAACGATTTGTACAAGCTTTACATACGATGTAAGTGGCTACGAATCTTCCAGCCATGCAACAAGAGCAAAAGCAGCAGCAGCAGCGGTACCACCAACCAATAGAGTGCTGACTGCTCCCCATATGTAGCCTCCAACACCCTGCCCAGCACCCGTAACACGAGATTTCACAGCTCCGAATATCAACAGAACGATGCCTGTGACAATACAAGAGTATACGAGCGCTACATGCGCTTGTGGAACAAAGAAGTATGGAATGAGGGGAATGATTCCGCCAACCAAGTACCCTAAGCCAATTGTCAGCGCCGAAGAGTATACTCGACGAATCGAGATTTCCTCTAAAAATGAAACAATGAACATGAGCGGTATTGAAAAGTAAATAATACACACCCATTCCCTCTCCAAATTTGAGTAAAAATGGTGTCAAACCGACTTGGTCCTTCCATCTCAGCAACTGCGCTTCTTCATCTGGCGATGAACCGTTCGCACTGACTTCGGGGTCAACTTCAGCATCTCTGAGACACTTGGTGACCGCCTGGCACGCCTGCTCGTCGACACCTATGGGGACAAGTACAGCACATACTTCCCTTTCCATTTCTCCAACGCAGCTCCGTTGCACCCGAGCCGATATGTGGCGTCGCATGTAATGATAATGATCCCGCTCTGCCGAAGATGCTAAGAAGCCACCAATGCCCATAGAAATAGCACCAGCGATGAGTTCAGCTATTCCGCCAGCGACAACTAATCTTGAGGTGCCCAAAGATGAAAGACCTGCTGCTAGAGCAAAGGGGACTGTCAAGCCGTCTGACAGTCCAATGACACTGCGAATTATCTCAATGTTCTGTCCGATATGATGAAACCGAGACAATTACTTACATATCACGAATGACATCAGGATCGATAAGCGTGCGGTCATCGTCGTCTTTCAAGTCTTTGCAGCAGACGCCATCCAGGCGATCGTGCCTGTCACATCTCGCCGGCAGTGGTGGGGTAAGTGTTCCACTGGCGTCCAAAGGCCATACTGGTGGCTCAGTGTTTATGTTTCCTTCTCTACTTGGCAAGGAAACAGCAACTGTGCCATTTGGATTGGATTCTGAAGCCATTCTAAGAGAGGAGATAGTGAGGCGGGTTTTTGCAAGATTATACAACGAGACAAGGATGGAGTCGACTTGGAGCCGAGTGTCGAGCGCCCTGTTATGAGTCAGCCTCCGAGCTAGCTCGGTTCCATCAATTGATAACACAAAGACGGGCCGAAAATTTCCAGGTCACGTGGTTGTTGACGCGTTTGAAGCACGATCTAGACGCGTTTCCTGCACAATTTTCGTGGCGGAAAATTCTAGGTACGTTGTGAGAACGTGTGGTATACTGTTCTGTGTAAGAGATAATGCATTAGAAGCAAAATTTGAGTTTTTGAGCTGCTGCAGAGGTAATGACGGCACAATGGATTACAAAATCACGTCATTTTGTGTTTCTCCCTTAACTTCTGGGTGGGTTTCGTTACTTTCGTACACCTCTTGGTCTTCGATGAATGCTGCCCATGTTACTGTAAGCATACTTTATAAACTGGAAACTCATAGAGTTTTCATACCGGAACGACGTCTCAATATTCAACTGCGTTGCTGCACTGGCTCGGTTTCCTTCTGAGCGAGTCATCGAGGCGCGGGGTATCCATCTTGTGGCACGCCTGTCATAATGGGAGTTTGTGGTTCTGTGTTTCGTGTCTGGAACCTTATGTATATAAGTTCAGCTCTCAGCTCAGGGTAGTTCACCCCGGAACGGTTTGCTTTCTCGAACAGCCCTTTGGTCCAGATGGTCACTTTCATGGCTATTTTCATCTCTCCCAGTGCCCGCATAATCTCCGCGCTGTAGGACTCGCTCTCTTCGGTGACTGAATCCAACATCAAGGTGAATATAGCTTCACAATATAGTCCAATCATATCTTGATCTCTTTCTTTAGAGCACCGTGCAGATATCAAGGCTAGATCATATCATGCCCTATTGCCATGTCAGCCTCCATGCCTATTGGAAATTTGCCGGAAAAGAGGTCGATGGACAGTGGCTCACAAGCTTTCGGCTCGGCTGACCCGATCCACCGTATAGTTCTCCAGGCCCTTTTGGGAGTAGCAATCGGTGAAAACGTATGTCCGAAATCCATTTCATCTTACGCCCTTCATTAGACTCGAACCCCCCCGCCCCCCAGCCTACTCACCACAAAGCTCCGCGTCGATGGGTCGGCTGTAAGGGTCAGCGTTGTCACCAGTCCAAGCGAATAACGTTGTGAAACGCGTCTCTACTTACCATTCGACTGGACAGCCTGCGGTAAGTATTTGGAGCCCGAACATATTAATGGGCGTGCCGCGAGGCAATGTCACTGCTACATACTGGCATTCTTCCATATCCGAGCTGCTCTGAGACCATGAACTGTAATTTGACGGAGGGGCGTCTACAATTGCGAGACTGCGGAGTTGACTTTTATGTGTCCAGTGGCCCCAGTGTAAGTGAAAAGTTGGACACTTTCTACCAAACATTCATAAGTAATTCGGCAGAAGTGGGTAGTTATGCCGCTTCAAGGCTAATCAAATAATAGACTTGACAGGCATAGCCGATGCCACGCTTGTGACTGCTATTGTCGAACTGAACACGTTTCAATTGTGCGCACAAGGTACAGTTAACTTGTAACTTGTAACTTGCAACTTGCAAGACAATCACCGTTGTGAATTGTCTTGGATGCGGCGTGGGGACTATAGAAAGTGCTTTAAGCTTGGCCTTGGTGTTTGCAGCAACTTCAATTAGATCTCCGTCATCGATCATCGATCATATATAGAGCGTGGTTTCCAGAAAAGCTGTTTAGAACACGGAATTCTTGGCACAACGGCAAGGGCACCACAGTTAAAGGCTAGCGCTTTCAACGCAGCAGCATCAACGACTGCCCTCTTGCCGCCATTGCTGTGTACCATGGGTAGGTTTAGATTCTCCAAAAGCCATCACAACCATGGATCTTGCTCATCATCCTTGCCACCACGGACAGGTTCCCTACGTGACGGGCCTTCAGAAATGGCTCATTCCACTGCAAATAGCGTCCGTGCGCTCAATGCTGTAGAGGAAACGTTTCCGCTTACCCAAAGATCATCCGCATCTGCCAATCGACCACGCATAAGTACTTCAGGCAGCAAACGTCAAAAGAACTCCCTCAATTGGCTTGCCAAGCTCAGAAGAGCTGCAACTCTAATGGCTCAACCAGAAAAACGGATAGCCAAAGCCCCCACCGTGTGGAGAAGCATTCAAGCGATTGTTTTTGCTTCATGTGACATGATTTACTTGCAACCAATGCACTGCGTTTATATTGTCTTCTAGGGCTAAATGTCTTGTTGGTCTTTATCCCGATATCTGTATGTTTCTTTCTGTCTTGGCTTGGACCATCTGACGCATGATGTCCGAAAGTGGGCCATAAACTTTGCTCTTCCCGATCAGAACACTCTAATATTTGTTTGTAAGTACACGATTTGACCTTCACTGCAACCTACCTTACACATCGCTCCAGTTACATTTCTGGCTATCATACCGCTAGCCAAGGTAACATAGATTCATTTTCGCTATTGTTCAGGTTTGATGTACTCGCAGCTTCTCGCCTTCGCGACCGACGAGCTGTCACTACGAGTCGGTCAAACTCTAGCTGGTCTTCTCAACGCCACATTGGTTAGTGACTCATGTGTCGGTCTTTTATCTCGCTGAAATTTGACGGCTTATAGGGAAATGCGTCAGTAAGTTTTTTTCTCAGTTGATCACTTTCTTACCTTGTTTCCTTTCACGCACAGCGTCGAACTCATTGTATCGGTACGTCGTGCTAGCCTCCAGCAGCTTGTGCAATGATCAATTGACCCATTTTAGATCATTGCGCTCGCGAAGTGTCAGCTTACAATCGTTCAGTCGTCCTGTATGTGTCCCACAGTTCTACTCTGTTGCAGCTTCCCTTAACCTGACATGTGTTATTTTTCTATAGTGGTGGGCTCTATCCTGAGCAATCTCTGTAAGTGTTTAGGCTTACTACAACGAAATAAATTAATATGTGTAGTACTGGTACTGGGCATGTGTTTCTTTGCCGGTGGTCTCCGCTTCTCGGAACAGGGATTTGGTCAAAGTGCGCAGTTGCTTGTTTCAAGTTGGTCCAGACTGTTGATGCTTGCGTCTATGGCTTAGGTGCTGTGCAACTTAATTCGTCATTACTGACCATCAGCGTGATTGCTGTTCTGTTACCTGGGGCTTTTCACATGGCTCTTCAGGGTCAACCAGAATATGACGAATTGTCGACCGATTACAACATATTGAAAACTAGCCATGGCGTACGTGGATTATTTGTTTGTAATGTTTGGTCTTATGTTCTTCGTATAGGTTGCAATCATTCTCCTTTTCAGTGGGTCAACAAAATGTTTTTCTTAGCAATTGACTAAACCCATTCCAATCATCCAGTCTACGCCTCATATCTGGTTTTCCAGTTATTTTCGCACAAAGGCCTCTACGATGATGACAGCGGAGATATGCAACAAACCAAGGCGTACGCAGGCCACAACCCATTCCGGTTGCACAGGACACGTGGGAATATCACGGACGGCGAAACAGTACATTCCCCAAGTTCGACGCATGACAGAGAGGCAGCCACAACGTTGTCGCCCCCCGCAGATGCCAACCCTGATGTAGAACCTGGGACAAATTCCATAGCATCATTGGAGACTGAGGCTCTCGAGCAACCATTGATGAACCTTACTGTGTGCATTTGGCTTTTGGTTGTCGTAACTGTGGTACGTGCTTGCCGTGACAGTTACACAAAGTTCTCAATTCTTTCGCTTTAGTTGGTTGCTGTTACTGCAGAGTTCCTCGTTGACTCAATTGATGGCATGACTTCATCCGGGTTGATCAACAAGGAGTTCGTTGGTATTATTTTGCTTCCGATCGTCGGCAATGCAGCGGAGCACGTTACTGCAGTTACGGTATCCGTCAAGGATAAACTGACTTTGAGCTTGGGCGTTGCTGTGGGTTCGAGTATTGTGAGTTCGTCCCTACAGACATGGCTTCTATGGCGACTCACCGTTTTCAGCAAATTGCGCTCTTTGTGATTCCGTGCGTTGTGCTTTTGTCCATTTTTACACAGTATTTACTCAGATGGTTTCAGATTCATCGTGACACTTGGTTGGATTATGAATAAGCCACTGACACTTCTCTTTGACCCGCTGGAATCTATTGTCCTGTTTCTTTCCGGTGCGTGAATGAATTGATGCTGGAGAACGTGCTAATCGGAAGGAGAAAATAGTCCTTACTGTCAATTACGTCGTGCAGGACGGCAAGTCAAATTGGTTGGAAGGAATGATCCTCATGTGTAAGTTTCTGTGGTATTTTTGGGTGCGTTTCGTACTCAATGCACTCTCTAGGCTTGTACATGATTTTGACTGTAACGTTCTGGTATTATCCTGGTAAGCCCCTCGTCGATGTAACTGAAAGCTGCCCCGCATTAAATGCTGTTTTTACTAGGTACCCAAGGAATCTTCCCAAATTGTTAGACAAAACCAGCATCTTCGATGAATCGAGGACTGCCACGGGCTTAGTAGTAAGCTTCGACCTGGGCCACTTTCCTATCGATCATATTCGGTACCACACACTAGTCACACACTCCTTCTGTCCAGTGCCAACTATCATTATTGTCGTGGTTTTTTCTTTCTTATATCTATGGATGGTTCGCAGTAGGAACCCATCCCTGTCCTCATTCTTACCGTTGCGCTGGTCGTCTTGTCAGATAAACAGAAGATTCCACTTTATTCCTACTTGCTTTTTTAAACATAATTTAGATATTAACCTGGAGTGCATTATATTGTCAGTGGCGGAAAACGTCAACTTGTGAGTAATATGAAACGAGACGCTGCACGCAGTATAGCTTCAATTACAGCAGTTTCTGATATTTCGAAAAACAGATGAACTTTTACTCCATTCTGTTGATTGTGACAGAACATGTCCGCAATATTACCAATGTAACTGAGTAGCCGTTTGACGCAGAAGGCTTCTGATCAATAGACATTAATATTGTCCTCGGTCACTTTTTATCACGCTGGTCACGTGTAGGAACTTGGGAACAGGCGCGCGTCAGGGGCGCTACGATGGTGGGTATTCGAGATAAAAATGGATATTTGCCAGGGCACTTGTGTCATATGCACTGTCAAAGGACCCCTGGCAATCTGTGCGAAAAGATTGTCCTGAAGGCAGATACATTCTTGCCGCATCTTGCGTGCTGAGCGCAAGGTACTAATATCATTTGTCAGTACTTCAGTACTTGATGCAGCCTGTCGCAATATTAGCCGCTGCATGGCCGCTGAGCTTGATACTGCGTACCGTACTAGTAAGTTTCTTCTGCCCGCGGCAATCTTGCGTAGTGCCGCTGATACTGCGCACCGTTGCATTATGGGGGCAATACTGATATGTAAGTAATATGCAACTTGGTCCACCTAACTTACATATCAGTATTGGCCCCGTTTATGTAATGGCAATGAGTTGTTCCAACAAGCGTTGACCACAGTTGAACAAGCTTGTCGAACGTACGTTCAACGTGTTCCTTACTGTTACTCTAGAATTCGACAGGTTTACTCACCACTGTCGACTACAATTACCACTACCACTTCAAAAAGTGAACGGGATAGCCCGTCCAAAAGCTTCTCTGGAGAGCAATGGTGATTCAATTATGCCCAGGCATCAATGCACCTGATTTATCAGATGCCTGCGTACGCACCTCCCTTGGGCTCGTCTTAGCGTTGTGTCTCTTCTCCATACCCCGGATTCCTGCATTCACTCGTCCACTTGCTAGATCTATTAAATCGCCCTGACGCAGTTTCTTGACCTTGTGCGAGGCCGAAGCTCTGGATAGTCAAGGGGAAAAACAGACGACCTTGTCATCGACAATCCTGTTCCTTTATGGCGCACCATACTACTCTCATTTGTCGCTTTGGTCGAGGCTCTCGTTTGGTCTGCTGCCGGTGCATACAGCATCATCATCATGAATGAGGATTATATTTGGCCGGGTATCGCGCAACTTCTCATTTCCGCCACTTGGATATTCACCGTGCTGGTGCCGCGTATTGCCAGGGCTGCATCGGTAAGCGTCCTTGGGTCGCTTTGAGTCTCAATCAGCGAAACTAGCCAGAAGTGTAAACTGAGTACAAAGATCAATTTTCAGTGAAGCTGGTGGTGCAACAGCCGTGTCACATCCACAACAGGCACAGCCGACAGAAATGAGGCAGCGGACGTAGGGTCAGACTGAAACAATTGTTCTTTACTGACAGCACACAGATAGCATAAGTTGAACAACCGAGTTGCAGAGTGGAAAGCTGCGAAGAGACGGTTCAAATCAGTAATTCATGCGGGAGAACTCACATATCATGAACTGTACCCCTGACCCCAGTTACGGCGGGTTGTCGTCGACTGAACACGCTCGTCACTCCTGCAGGTTCTGCCGAAAATTCTGCGATCGGATGGCGGAGAATTTGCGAAGGTCGGATGTTCTGCCCTGATGCAAGAACGCGTGATGGAATTTAACTGTTACACCCCATGATACAAGAATACAGATACAGATTTGCATCAATGGATGTGACAATATTTATTGAGAAAGTGACAGAGTGGCAGAATGAAGACAACTGTATTATAAGAAATCACGTTAAGAAACGGAGGTGATTTGCAATTGGTCGCAGCCAACGGTAAATAAGTGTCAATAACTATTGAACACTCGGAACTAATAGGCACCATCAAGGCACCATGATCAACGAAATACCTACACCTTGGAGCTTCGGGAGAAAGCAGAGAATACAAACACGCCTGCCGTGTGGTGATTTGAAAGTGTACAATAATATTTGCATTCACATAAGTATCCCCGTCGATTTTGTCGCGATATAAACAATAAGGCGGCTGAGCGCCGAGTAAGGTTCATGGCAGCAACGCCAGCCTCTAGGAAAGAATGATTGGGGGATGAGAAAGAAAAATTCCTTTCGAAAAAGCCGTTTCCCCTGACATGTGGAAGTCGAAGCCCAAGATCATACAGGAGTGCGCGTTTTAATGAAAATGGAAAAAGGGGGCGAAAAAAAGTAGAGATGAAGAGGATTAATGTTATTGCCTGCGCGGCTCTAGTAGCGTGAGAGCTCAAGAGTGTTGGATAGGGGAAGATGAACCCGGAAGAGCGTTGATTGATAGTTACTAATTCTGTCAATACTATTCCTTGCCTTCGAGTAAATATAGGGTCATCGGGGCATGCCATGGAATAACTTGATATCGTCGTGGGTGTCTAAAACTAGAGAGGGAGTTGTGATGTCTGTGACCATGATTACGGTACCAGGAATGTCCGACCAAGTGCATGACAAGAATGAGAATGATATCAATTTCTGAACGATACCTCATTATCTCTGCGCAGCAGTTGCAGGGTCACCGGCCTACTAATGCCATTGACGAGCAGGTGCTACATAGGAGGGAGCAACGAGTTAGCGAGAGAAAAATGAGACCAAGTGCATATTGGAAGCATCGACGAGAACGAGCATCAACTTCTCAGCTTTGTCACTGTACTGACAGGGTCACCGCAGGTTCAAATGATGAAGCGATGGGTGAGGGATTGGAACAAAAGAGCGGGGATTCAAGCGAGCATCCTGTAGTTGCAATTTCCAAGGAAGAAGAAAATTGTCGGTGCCTGCAGGCAGGTTATAATTCAATGCTCGCCATCAGGTGAATACGCTCCCGCAGGTTCTGCCTAAATTTCTGCCATCTGACAGCAATAACAATTCTGCCAAATCGATCAGAATCGTCCCTATCCTATACGTATACGCAGGATATAAAAGCTGGGTCATTGTCTTACAGTGTTTCCCCATCATCACAGATATCATTCGAGAACCTCCTCAGAAGATTCCATATCACTTCACACAGAAAATGCGTTTCTCCCTCCTCGCCGTTGTTGTCACTTTGATAGCATCTATGGAGTTTGTCAGTGCAAGTTGCAACAAATCGGGTAAAGGTTGCATAGCAGATGGGGATTGCTGCAGTTTTATTTGTACTGTGAGTATGAGCAGGTTGCTGTGCAACCAGGACTCAACCACATGACTCACGCGCGCGCCTTAGAATTGGTCGTGCAACTAGTAGTCGGTTGGAAATGGAACCGGCAGCCCGAAGCGTACGCGACAGTGAGTCGTGTCTCTCCTTTTGCTTTGGTATCATGGTTGATTAATGGTGCAATGCCTTATAGTTCGGAGCCAATAAACACAGTTGCTTTTAGACAAATTTTTGTACCGCTCGAACAATTTGAATGTTTAAATTCATCTGAAAATGATCGAACGTGCCTAGTTTTGCTCGTTGTCCACTAAGCTCGAGATCGAGTAGCGTAGTGAGCTCGAGAGTGATTCTCTTCATCGAGCGAGTTTTGGACAGGGTGCAAGGGCGGGCGGCGCATCAGTGAACCTGTGAACAGATGAGATTGGTATTTATAGCAATATCTTGTTGAGCATCACAATAGCCAACGTAAAACTGCCGACCACTTTCACATAGGAATGTGTTGCATTGTCGAGGGAATACCAATTTGCAAGCTCGCGGGCCTGGTAACCAAATTAGCTCTGACCGTTTTCAGTTGAATGAATTTAAAGCACAGGCACTGTATGAAGCAAAATATGGACCAGCCTGAGACCGACGATGAAGGAGGTCGTATTGTGCGTAAGTGAAAGGCAATTCAGCACTATCGCCGGCTTGCACCATCGAAGAAGAACCAAGCTAAAAAGACCCCAGTGACTAGAAGTCATTGAACGAGTATGATCATACTCACCCACGCCGCGGCCTTTTTCTTATATTCCTGGTGCACTGGATTAGTGATGTATCTTAAGAGTGAATGGAAAGTACCGATCTCCTTGTTGCTAGCTAACATATCGTTCCAACACAGGGTAAATGCACTTGCTGGTTCGCGCCGGTAAACCATTCGACAGTGAACGTGACATGAGGAATGGTAGGTGGATCACCAAGAGGGATTGGCGGGTGCTAACTCCGGACGATTCATGGAGCGCACGACGAGAATTTGCCCTTGCAAAGGTAATAACCGGATGTTCCAAATAGGTTGTTCCTTCGTTTGAGAAGTCTGGAGCAATCTTCACAGCAAGAAAAAGAACCATACCAGTTGTGACTTCACGCACGGATTTAAACGTGGACATGCATTATGCCATCACAAGTCAGTTCCTTCATTACAATTATTTCGAGCCCATCTTGGGAACTAACATGCTCGGAACGCCGTGGACTCCACCAAGATAAACATTTCGAAGCTCTGAATCGCTGCGAAGGCATCCGAGAAGCCGATGGCGGGGTTGTGATGGAGTACATCGGTGCCAGAGTAAGAGCAAGAGAGGGCCAGAGAAATTAGGCGAGAAATCAAAGTCATGTTGATTCTTGAAGTTTCAAGTTGTGCCGTGGCACGCGAAAATCATATGAGAATGCACGTGAGGGGATGCTGCTCCAAGGTCATCATGAGATTATGCTATTCACCTTTTACTTGATTACCGTACATTGTCAGTGAACCATATGGCAAGCAGACGTCGTCCCAACGGTGTGGAAGATGCACCGTGCTTTGTGGACGGTACTACTAGGTATCGATGCCGGCCGGTCGTGACTCGTGTGATCAAAGTTCGACAGGCTTAGTAAGAGTATTAGATGCCCTCCCGATACTACTAGTGCATCGGCCATGTCCAAGTTCCGTGTTCATTATTCTCAAGCCTTGACTATCACATTGTATTCACGCGACTATACAGCCATCCTAACCAGAAAGCATCAATCGAACCGCTCCCCGTCGACAGCTATTCTCTTCCCAAAGAAAAGACACATCTACGTGTAAGGTCATCCCTC